GTAGACATCGAATTCAAGGTATTAATACACCTAGACACCGAAAACTACGAAGCGCATTATCTAGACGTCGTCATCGGCAACCTGGGACACGTAGACATCGAATTCAAAGTATGAATACACCTGGACACCGAAAACTACGGAGCGCACTATCTGGACCTCGTCGTCGGCAACCTGGGACACGTAGACATCAAATTAAAGGTATTAATACACCTAAACACCGAAAACTACGGAGCGCACTATCTGGACCTCGTCGTCGACAACCTGGGACACGTAGACATCGAATTCAAGGTATTAATACACTTAGACACCGAAAACTACGGAGCGCATTATCTGGACGTCGTAATCGGCGACCTGGGACACGTAGACATCGAATTCAAGCTGTGAGAACTGTCGACGCTACTTACACAATGCTGCCAATATTGTGGGATGAAAATCACCAGCTCCGGAATTAAAATTATGTCGCGACATCATAAAAATTGAGACATCATAAAAATTGAGACATCATAAAAATTGAGACATCATAAAAATTCAGACATCATAAAAATTGAGACATCATAAAAATTGAGACATCATAAAAATTGAGACATCATAAAAATTGAGACATCATAAAAATTCAGACATCATAAAAATTCAGACATCATAAAAATTCGGACATCATAAAAATTGAGACATCATAAAAATTGAATGAATTAAAATTTTGTCGAGACATCATAAAAATTGTATGAATTAAAATTATGTCGACATCATAAAAATTATATGAATTAAAATGATGTCGACATCATAAAAATTGAATGAATTAAAATTATGTCGAGACATCATAAAAATTGAATGAATTAAAATTATGTCGAGATGTCATAAAAATTGAAACATCATAAAAATTGAATGAATTAAAATTATGTCGAGACATCATAAAAATTGAATGAATTAAAATTATGTCGACACATCATAAAAATTCGGAATTATTTTTACGTATCGACATAATTTTAATTCATACAATTCTTATGATGTCGACATAATTTTAATTCATACAATTTTTATGATGTCTCGACATAATTTTAATTCATTCAATTTTTATTATGTCTCGACATAATTTTAATTCATTCAATTTTTATGATGTCGACATCATTTTAATTCATACAATTTTTATGATGTCTCGACATAATTTTAATTCATCTAATTTTTATGATGTCCAGACATAATTTTAATTCGTGAAATTAAAATTATGTTAGGACATAAAAATAATTCCGAATTTTTATTATGTCCCGACATAATTTTAATTTATGCAATTTTTATTATGTTTGACATAAATTTAATTCATTAGTAAAAATCGCTATTTTTCTCAAGACAATTATTTTTTGAAACTTTTATATTGTATAGATTATTATTTATGCTATTGAAAAGTAAAACGGTGTGCCATGCAATTTTTATTATGTATATCAAATTTTAATTCGATGAATTAAAATTATGTCGTGACATCATAAAAATTGGTTGAATTAAAATGATATCGACACGTAAAAATAATTCCGAATTTTTATGATGTCTTGACATAATTTTAATTCATTGTAATTTTTCTTAAGACTATTATTTTTTGATCTTTTATATTGAATGGAATATTTATTATGCTATTAAAAAGTAAAACGGCTTGCATTAAAAAGTAAAACGGCTTGCCGTACAATTTTTATTATGTTCCGATATAATTTTAATTGGATGAATTACTATGATGTCGGAACATAATAAAAATTCGGAATTATTTTTATGTCCCGACATAATTTTAATTCGTCCAATTTTTATTATGTTCGACATAATTTAAAATCATTAGTAAGAATCGCTATTTTTCTTAGAACAATTATTTTTGGAAACTTTTATATTGTGTAGAATATTATTGATGCCATTAAAAAGTAAAACGGCGTGCCATAACAGTAACTTCATATTGCGCAATTATTGACCGTGTCTATATTGATATCAATATTATATCTCGTGATATCAGCATTATTTACACGAGATATTGCATCAATAACATTGATTGTATGTAGACGCAGCTTTAATAGTTTACGAGTTTCCATGAAACGATACACCAGATACATGAAAATATGAGCATATGGAATTGAGTGTTGATCGGTTCGCTGAAAAATTTTTTTTAAATAAAAATAAAAAACCATAAAACATCTACTGCCGCATGATGCGATGAAGCGCGCATATTATACTGATATTTTTATTAGTCAACGCAAATATTATGGTGATTTATGTATATATGCTCATACATGTTTCATCACACGGTGCTACACATTTAGCAGTGTCAAATTGCTATTACGACGCTGGATAATATTAATGTAAATTAGCATTTCTATATTTAGAAATTTATAAGTAGCAAATAAATTAAATTAAAATTAAAATAATTGTAAGCTTAATTGGCAGCAAATTTGTTTTCTTTTGCCCATAAAGTGGAATTAAATTTCCGAATCAGTGTTAATTTTTATGTTTAATTGTATGAAGTATGAAGTATTAAACGTCTTATCATCCAAGTTCTTTATATGAATTGTGGTTAGAAATGAAATATCATGAATATCTAATTGACCCTCGAGATTTATCGATTGAAATGTATTACATTTCAAAACTGATTTAGTTGAGTTCCTTCGTGATTATAAATATGCAGCATAGTTACTCTATATCGTAGTAGGTCGTTTAGCATTTGAAAGGACCTGTTGTTTTCCCGACTTGAGGTTCCTCTCCAGCCAGCTTTTTCTCCTCATACATTGTAATTTCCGATCTCAATTTGTAGGGCTCGATGAACTGCGATGCCCTCATCAGCTAATGGCCGCGGCATCCGTTTGTTAGTTTCCGCCGACCACGTTCGACCAACAATCATCAACGGAGGCGAAGAATTCGTATTGTTTTTGGATTCATACACCACGTCGCGCTAGCATTACTACAATCTACGGACTAACACAGATGTACAACTGATTGTTGAAAAATTGTATCCGATGTATCTTTTTGAAATGATGGGATTGCAACGGAATCGCACATATATAGCACATAAAACATTTAAAGAAATACACAAATCATTTTTTGCCACATTATTATTTATTAAAAACATTCAAAAAGATTTCAAGATAAATTGTTTTATCAATACAGGTGTACAAAGATGTATATTTAGACTTATACAAAAATGTATATTTTAATGTATAACGTTTTAATGTAACGTTTTTCAGAATTTCTACGGTTTGTTTTATTGTTGCTACGTTTTACAACGGTTTCGCAAATCGAGTATAGTTTCAATAGGAATTACACGAAATGGAGTGGTGAGTTGCAACACGAAAGTTACGGTACGTTTCTCGAGTGTCTATCGATTTGCTAATCCGCGCTACACCTGTAGTTTTCCAGCAGGATTTACCGAGCAAATAAAGAACCTAAACGAGACCCGGCTAACCGATTACGAAAAACTAGGCCATTTGTAGAATTCGTTGTTGCCAACGCTTTTTATCTCTTAGAGTCTGCACATGCATAATGAGATGTGGTTTATTGTCCAGGAACCATTTTCTTTTCAACCAGAAATAAAAGTTTATCACCGATAGGAAGAAGATAAAAAAGAACGTATCGGCTCGGTGCATGAAAAGTCAAAATCTCTTCGCCGGAGACTATGTATAATCTCAATTCGGAACAATATTTTTCTTACTACAGCTGAAATTTGATGAATTTGCTTATTGAGTTCTCCTGCGTCTACAAAAGTATTGTCGTCGTCAAAGTGTCTTCAGGTTGAGTGCGTTCCTCTGCGGGAATTCACGAGCCGAGAGCTATTCCGCGCGAATCCTTTCAATCAGGGTCGCGCGGCTTTTCTATACGAGAACGCAAGTTTTCCGTAAGACACGAGTGGCAGGAATCGTCTCATGATTCTTCCATGAGACGCGGTAGGTACGCCATCCATTTGCTTCGGCTCCCGCTCAACTTTCCATCCTTAACTCTTCACTTCGAACTTTCCTCCTTTGTGTGTCGGGCAGAAAGTCGAACCCTGCGATTCGCTAATTTCGCGCGGAATGCATATTCGAGATTTCGCTCGTCCCCCGCGATCCTGGCATTGATTAATTGATCTCTTGACTGACGCATTTCTTCTTTAAACATTTCTTTGCATTGCTCGGAATCGCCGGCGAAATTTTTTTACATCGCTTTTTGATCTGCATTTCTTTTGATAATGCATTTATGTATACATATATTAAGTGTATGTGTATGTGCGCATTTGTGTATGTTTGTGATGCATAATTTCATTCTCTTAGTATAACATTGGAATATTATTTTATTACATTTAATATGCTTTTTAATAATTTTTTTTATTCTTTATGTTCCTGGAGTTAATTAAGAATTCAGTGCGTTTGAGTCGATTTATATTATACACATAACATTTCTAAAAGATAAAAGTATATATTTTCCAGATAAATGTACGTACGACCAATTAATGAAGGTTTAATTGTTTGAAAAAAAATTCTTCTATCGGAGAAATGGTAGAAAATATTCGTTTTTATCCACTCAAAGTCTTTTACTTGCGTATCGCGAAATAAAAATCGATTCTTGCAGTCAGCGCCAGAACGATTTCCATAATTTAATGTATATATTGGTTGAATCGCCGGCGTTTTTCAGATGCGCCGCAAACTTTACGGGATGCTTGTCGCGGATTAAGCGACGAGCGTACCCGCTTGAATTTTTAAACTCCATCCCACTGTTTTAGAAAACTTGTTTTTTTCCACGACAGCAGGTCCAGTTTTATTTCCAATTCGGCGAGATTCATCTCGAAATCTTTCGGGATGCGCGAGTCGCACGTCCGTAACCGTGATATATCCATTCCGCACGTCTGCGCTTTCGTCCTGGCATCGCTTCGAGATGCGCCGCGCGATCGATTAATCGAGCGGAAACTTTAATGGCAGGCTCCTTTGATCCTCGCGGTAATTTCGGCAATTTACCGTCTTAAGTTTCAGCCTCCTCTGAGCCTCTCTCGTCGCTACCACTTCAGTTCTGCAGAATCGCTCGAAAAGAATTTCAGCGGAGGTGGAAAACTCTTTGCGTAATGTCCATTGTTTACGATGTTGTAGAATCATTACCGAGTCACTTCGAAATGCCCGATTTCTTTTATTTGCATTTTGTTTTTAAAGCTTTCAGCACTCGATTGAACCCGCTCTTTCGATTTTTCGTTGGAATGTATACATGTACTCTGCATCACTTGTCCGGCGTTCATGTTTGATCCGTTTCTCTCTATGCGAAGTGCCACGTTGAAAGTCTTGCAATTCTATTCAAATATAAAGTGCCCTCCGCCAACTTCTTTCTCACGAACTTCTCGAAGATCGTCTTTTCATGCAGCCTCGATTAAATGGACAACTTCGTAATTTCTCTTACTCAAGAACTTGAGATATATATCTCGAGAAATACTTAAACTAAATTATTGCTCCGTTTCAATATATTTTGAATACAGTTTCATTTTTATGACATATTTCAAGACACGTGTATATTTGTTAGAGCCCGGTAATCAATCAGTTTACCAATGCAGTCCTCACGTTGCGAAATAATTAGAATTAAAATTGCGCTGTAGAGCATATCGAGTTAATTAATTAATCAGATTTCTGTTACGCTCGAAAATTTTTCGACTGTTAATTCGGTTGACATTTCAGCTTCGTTCTCGCAGTCGAAATTTTTAATATCATTTGCCGATAAATTATTTGCCGAACTGGCGCGATCAGCAAAACATCACGAATGTTAAATTATTGATCGCTGCCCCTGTACTCGCGTTTCGTCGGCGTCACTGTTATCGTTTTCATTGATTCGTCAGTATATGCGGATAGCGTCGAATGCGTCTCTTCTTCCTGGACACACTTTTCAAGATGCAATTCGAGCTTCCTCGCCTTTCTTTCTTCGCGCGCTCGCAAAGTCTCGTCCTCGATCGCGGACTTCCATTTCGAGCGCGTTTCCGCGAGCTGCCGAAAATTCGATCTTCCCATCTCCACGACGCCTCGTACAGGCGACTCGACGTCGCCGTTCCCGGCTCCCTTCTTCTTTCCTTCTGGTTTCCCGTGTACAACCTCGATCGTTTGGGGCCGCCAGGAGTCACGTTTACCCAACGCGATTCTCTCCTGCCAAGCACGCATTTCCCTTCTGGCTTCCTCGACTTCGTCCGCGAGTACGTCCGCCAGCGATTCGTCCTCCAACAAGATCTTCCTCTTCCCGATGGACGAATGTTCCGGCAACTTTTGTTCATGATCGAATAACTTACGTCGCCGTTGGGTGATAACCCACGGAGGTTCTTTCTCCTCCAAAGCAAGTTGGGTATTTAATTCAGCCTTCCGTTTTTCTAAAATATAAAAATTGAACGTTGAATCAAAATTGATTGTACTATGATAATTTTATTTTGATATTATATTATAAATTTTATTAATCCATTTTTATTACGTTCCCATTTGCCAATCCAGTTTTATTATGAAAATCAAATTTCATAAAGTTAACTAATATTTACTCATATTAATAATTTTATATTCGATTTTCAAGATTTCTGCGCTTCATTGAAGTACAAATTAGTACAACAGTATATGCTACGAAGATAATTATTAAGAAGTTTGGAAAAAACAATTTTTTAATTTTAAAATTATTTTTTTTTTAATTAAATTAGTTTATATTTTTAAGTAAGTATTGCAGTCAAAGCAACACACGGCACATTTTATTTCTTCCACTATAATCTAGATGAAATGTCATAGAACTACAATATTCCTCGCGAGACCAATTATACTGGACACTTCAATGCACCCTCAATGTATTTAAAACGCCCGGTGGGAAGACGACAAATGGTATCCGCTTTACTGCTCTAATCTAACGCCAGGGTGATTTCATCCTATCCAATTTTGTTCTATCACTGTCGTTGATCTTGCCCTTATCTCATTTATTTAACATCCAATCTAAGCTTAACCCTTTGGACTCTCCCGATAACAACCCTCGCAATAACATTTTAGCAGTCACTATAAGTTAAAGTCGCTTCTGTGTGAAAATCACCTGCTTTTACACTATATTCTTGTTCTCTGTCTATGTGCGTCAAAGACATTTTTGTTTTATGCAGAAAAATTATAATCTTTAATTTAAATTACTATTCGAACGAGATTCAGAGTTGAAAATATTAAAGGATGAAATTTAAATCAATACTTTGAGTTAAACATTTGTTATTTCTAATTACCATGTGTGTCGAAATTTATTATTTCAACACAAAATAGTATTATTTCAACTTCATTGATTTAGTTCAATTTACATTGTTTTAGTTAAATTAACATATTGAGTGATTAACACATTTAGTTAAATTAACATAACGACATATTGAGTAGGAACAGTGGCAACCTATAGGAATGGTTAAAAATGACTGAATATAATTTGACACTATGTACAAATTTAACAATGTAAGCAAGTTAAATATACATTATATTAATCAGTCATATTGTTTAAAGATATCAACAAAATATATCTATTGATATAAACTCAAAATTAATAATATGCACTTAACGATATATATTTATTATTACTGAATATTAATATTCAATAGTGGGGCATTTCAAGAATAAAAGAAAAACATTTCTACTGAAGCAGTCAGGGAGATATTGCGCGTCATAGTTATTGGCAAGATGACAGAACCATAATGCATCTTTGATGGTACGTAACAAATGATAGTTTAATGGCCCAAGTTTGGTCCTGCGGCTGTGCAGCGCGCGCATATCCGCTTTAAGAAATCACTGAAATATAGTGGCGCAAAAATGACGACAGATGCACTTAAAGTATTGTTTGATAAAATCTTTCCGTCAGCGATCCTCGCGTAGAAAAGGAATTCGCGAGAAATTGCGGAGAAAATATTATCAACGCGCAGCTTCTTTGTTTCATCTGTCGCGCTTTTCTTCAAGCTTTTGCCAACGAATGACGCAAAGTGAAACAGATAATAAATTCTCATTGGACAGATTCATGCGCGGACGTTTGTCGCACGTCCTTCATTAAGAAACGGCGTTGAAAACGCTTCGCCATTGCTGTCTCCAATTATACGCCGGCACATCTAAAATGGCCAAAGAGAAACGGCAACGATGTAGCAACGATGTAGATCCCCGAGTTTAGCGCATTAATCTAACTGGGACGCAGTTTGGATAGACGCATACGGCTAGGCTTTGAAACCGACCGCAATCGCGACAGCGACGTTCTTAATTAAGCTGTCCGATTGTGTCGCGCCATGGAGACGTCTCCCGCTGCTGCCGGATCAGCGAAACGCAATGTCGATGGGGGGAAACCCGGCGTGAACACGAACGAATCAGAACAATGAACGTTTATCAATGTTTCCACCTGACGTGGCGCATTCGCGCGGTTTTGATCGCGGTTTTCCATCGAAATCGCGTTTTTTACGAAATTATCTTCTCTCCCCCGCATTTTTTCGCACCACGCAACGCTATCAATCTGTCCGCCGCGATATTTCTTGTTACCACGTTGTCGCTGCCGGTGCTCAAATAATATATGAAAAAAAATTACATAATGCCGCCATTGCCGGACTCAAATAAAGCCGCGCGCAGCTGAGAAAGGTATTATCGGATCACGCTCGGCTTCGAGGGGAGATCTCATTATCTTGTCCGTCCACGATGTCCCGAGCGACGCATAGAAAACGAAAAAAAAATAGATCGCCTTACCGATCCCCCGTGAAACGACGTTTGCGCTTGTCGTCGGAAACGGAAGCTTACCTTCCAGGTCTGCGCAACAGATTTCCGGCTTACAGACCTCGACGGCGCAGACTTTGCTCAAGATCTCCTCTCCGCGACGTTTCTTCACAATCTTCACAGTCTTTCTCGGTTTTGCGAATGGCGCTTCTAACGTTGTAACCGCTCTTTCGCCATCTTCTTCCTTGTCAACTTCTATTTCTTCTATCAAGGATCTCGGGGATTTCGGCCTCGCCGCTCTTGTTCTTTCTTCGCTGACAAATTTATGTTGCTTTGGCGCAATTTTGGCAATTTTATTCTTTACCGTCACCGGTTCGCGTGCAATTATCTTTTTCTTACGCGGTGTTTCCTGCATAAGACTGATCATTTCTTCGGTTTCGGGATCCAGCCTTGAATAACTTTCAAGTTCCTGAAAAGACATTGATTTCAAACTTCTTGTAAAGATTTGCATAACATAGTGAATTATAGATATAACTATTTATTAATGTAAAAACATTTTAAAAATAAGACGCTCAATTTTTTTATTTAAATAGGAATGGATAGTAATAATTAAATCTGTTTCGATATTGTACACATGTTGCAATGAAATGTTAACATCTTAAAGTAGAAGAATGATGCATTATTCTTCTATCATAAACGGAAACGCTAGTCTATATATAGCAAAGATCATTAATGTTTCAAGAGACGCGAAAATACGCGTCTTAAACAGCAGAGAAAATCTTGTGCCCGTGGAAAATGCATCTTTTCTTCTTCTCGGCTACTTAAGTTGTTCTTTACCCTCTTTACTGTTTGAAAAAATGTCGCTTCTGATTCCGTCAGTTCCTCGAAGAACGTGTCGTCCTTTTCCAACTTTCTCATCCGAGATTTTTTCGTAGAGTGCTCGACCTTTTCTTTAACCTGCGCCCTGTTCTTATTTTTCTCCTTATTGTTTCCCTTCTTATGTCTGTTCTTTGATACGAACGTCAAGTGGTCCGCTGTGGAATCCTCGTGAACGCCAGCTTGCATCAAGCGTATTTCCTTCAATCGCGTGTCAACGGCCTTCTCGAAACGACCGCAGCTCTCGAGATACTGCAGTAAAAATACATTGCCTTTCGTCTTCGATCAACGTAAGATCAAAGTTAGAATATGCAAATTCGCGAAATATATGAATTCGAAAAGAATAACAACTGATAAAATCCAAATTTGTTACATCAGATAACATGATATAAACCATTGATAAAATCTTTACGTTTGTACTTCAGATGCGAACATTTAAATTAAATTTGAATCGTTCATATCTTTTCCAAGATTTTTTTCTAAAATACATATAGCTATCTGGTTATTGCCCTTTTCGATAATATACTTTTCAAAACACCCACGGCAGTAAGGTTTGCTTTGTCAGTTTTAGTGTTGACAATGAGTCCTTCGGAGCATTCCACCAGATATATATTGCCGTCGTGACTGCCGACTGCCAGAAGCTGACCGTTCTCGTGGGGCGCGATGGCCGTGAGACGGTCATTGCAGACGCGAAACGTAGTCACCGGCGTATCCACGCCATTCAAAATGTCGTATACCTCCAACAGACCCGTCGCGTTTATGGTGAAAAACACCGAGTACCTGGACCTGCTCCAGCAACCTCCGCGTAAATCAGTATTCTGTTCGCTGTGCGCACAAAATTGCATCCTTTACTTCCTCTTTACCGAGCATACGCTCCGCGGCACGATAACAACATTAACTTCGGGAACTACGCCGACAAAAATGACAATGGAGAGCTTCGACGCTGATAAACAAGACATTAGTCGAACGTAGAAACCGCGAGATATATCATCCTGTTTACGTGAATAGCTGCTTCGCTTTGTTTCGCGCTAAGTATTCATAACTGTATTCTACTCTTTGTATGCTAATTTATAGTCAGATATACGACACACAATGGTGCTGATAATAATGCATACTATAGTCTAGCGTCTGTATATTCTTAATATACATAGCAAATTTATGTCAGAGTGAAAATTAGATAAAATAAGAAAAAATTCTACAACACACTTATAACTCAAGCGATTTTAAGTTACAAAGATTTCTAGCTTTAATTCGCGAGGCTAGTCGATTTAAGTCAATTGAATGTAATGGATCTAACCGGATGGTGAGCAAGCTACCCTCCCTGGCGGTATCCTCCGTCCAAATTTTGACAGTCCAGTCGCCCACGGTGAGGAAATTCTTTATCGCGAAGGGGCTTCGATCGATGGCGATGACAGGGCCAACGTGACAATTAAACCTCATTGCCAGTTTATCGACCGGATTCGCAAGTTTCCGTCTAACGTTGATCACCATGCCATTCTCCATACCGGCCAGGAATTTGTGCCCTATCGTCGGTTCGTATTGCAGCTTTGTGACTCCGATCGCGCGAACGATATCCGCTCGAAGCGGATCATCCAGATCCATCACCAGCTCGTCGGTCGGTTGCCTCATCTTCCTGATATCCCACCACTTAATCGTACCGTCGGTGGATGCCGAGAGGAACTCCGTGTTGGTCTTGGATTGGATCCAGAACGCCTGGTTCGCCGGGTTTCTTTCGCACATCGTCGTCGGAGAGAGGAAAGAGAGAGAGAACGGGGGGAAGAAACGGGAGTGACGGAGTTACAATTTGGCAGCGAAACGGCAGGCTCTTTGGAAACATTTTGCCACGACGACGGCAGAAATTGCGACCGCGTTTACGAAACGTATGAATTGCAACGATCCGTAACCCCTCATCGGCTGCGAATCACTTTACGAACATTATTCCTTCGGAGTCTGCGCCGTTTAATTGGCGTGTTTTCAGTAATTATCGCAGAGGTGAAATTCTATAAGCGTCAGTGCGGTCGCAGCTTCTAGTAAAGCTAAGCGGCATTTTGCTGTGCTTGCTTCTTATTTTATCTCAATTAATGATATCGTAATATAATTTTCCGACAGTTTAACGGTGATGCAACATTATTAAGAAAATCATGATTATTTATTTAATAAATAATTAATTGTTTTGCGATTGATATTATTTAAAGCAAAAGAAAAAAAATTATTTGAGGATATATATACATAATTTCAACAAATCTTTCAAGCGACAACGTTAAACGCTAATTACGAAACTCGAACACACAAAATTACGTAGCAACTTTTCTGACTTATATCTCATACAGAAGTGTTCATGTGTTTCTAATCGGTGTTAACACGTTCTTGTCGATGCATGTCATATATCAAGAGCTGTATTAATCTCGGTATCAGAGACTACCGTTTGCACGGCTTTGCGGCGTTTCTCTCGGAGGATATTTGCGATTCCACAGGCCATACATCAAAGTCAAGCACGTCCAAGTTCTGGCCAATAATCTCGGCGGATAGGTGCAAGTCCCGAGGAACTTCCCCATTCGGAGATAGATAGATACCTGTGGCTAAACTGACGATGGGACATTTGCACTGGCCCATCCCCAATTCGGATGTCCCAGTTGCACACTTGGCCAGACATCAGTCCGCTAATCAGCATCGACGGATCGCGCGGATTAAACTCGACGATTATTAACGGCGACGATGATCTCAAGCATATCACCGGTGTATTTGGGTTCTCTGTGACGACACAGAATTATAAACTTTTTTCTTAAAATTTAATGCTGTTAAATAAACAAGTGACCAAATCAATTTTTTTGCTCAAAGAATTTTCTTTTTTTTTCGAAATCTATATACCTAAAAATAAAAAAAAATAAATATTTTATTTGCTCAATTGTTTGCAATACACAATTGATAAAATTTACCTAGAGTATTAAAAACTGGCAAACACTTAGAAATATTTTTCTCGATATTTCAATATTTTTAATAGTGGTAAAATTTGGTTGGTAACGGTAAAAATTTTTTCCAATTAAAGAAGTATCGTGTTATGAACGAGCTAACGCAAATATCATCCTTTTAATATAGAATCCTCAAAAATATTTCTATTGCTAATCACTAGTTATTTTACTTTCAATTTTATATTTTTATATTTTTGTGAGTTTTTCTTTCAGATTTGCGTTAGCTGTGAAAAACATTTTGTTATATTGCCATATTATCCTACTAGAAATCATGTTACTGGAAATACGTTCGGCTTTATACGCGGTTGTTTTTGTCATGTGATATGTTTCTGTCAATAACAAACGCGCCGCATAAACAACACGCATGCGTATACCAACGTTTGGTGTAGATATATAAAGATTCATGTCAGTGAGACGCATTTCAAATATTATGAAGGACTTTGAAACGACCAATCGATTTCCGCGACCGGAACCGGGACGAGCGTGTGACAGGTCGCGTTTGACGACGACATGATGAAACATGCTTCCGATACGTTGTAAAACGTGTCAGATTCGACATTCTAAAAAAAAATCTCTACCACGGTATATTGCATTAGTATGGGAAAATTCAATAAAATTCAGAAACAGTGGGCAAGAAAATACATCACGCGGAGTACTGCAAAAACGTATATTTGATAGATTGAAATATTAAAATGAATATTGAAACAATAATAAAAAAAAAACGCTTGCATTTTAAAGCTGAATTCATGATCCAATTTCTATCATACATTGTTAAATTTCCGTATATCGAGCACTGCAATAACATAAATATTATTACTTGTAAAAAAAATACACTAGATTTTCAGGTAAATTCATTTTAAAATATCGCGAAAGTTTGGTATTTTCTTTGATGATATTTTCATTAGTGGATAAAATACGCGTTGTTGCACGGTAGTAAAATAAAAACATACCGATATCCCATATGTAAGAGGAAGAATTCACGTTGGACGATTTCATCTCGAACTCCATGAAAGAGTAGGCGGCAGCCAATCGATTCTGTGCACCTGGCGACCACGACAGGTGATTGATTGGTCTTACGATAGGTTGCGGATCGACATACATGTTTGAGGTTCTGGGAAAAAGAAAATTAAAGCTTCCGTAAAAATTCGCGCAAAATCGCGAACCGGCGGAAATTCATTTCTTTCTTTTTATCTTTTTTCCCATTCCCGATGCGCGTAAATCATCCTCTCGGCGACGCGATAACGCCGTTGCTTTTACACGTTGCAGACGTCGGTCTTTTTGTTTCGTCCGCTTGGCGATACCCTTCACGAAGCGATTAATTGTAACGACAGCCGTAGATTCTTTGTTAGAATGCGCGGAAACGTATGGATACTGTTTACGTTCGAAGCGAAGTAACTTCTTATTACCTCGCTTCGAGTTTTTTCTCGCGATCGCGACCAAAATTGTCCGCTTTAGTTTGAAAATTTTTCGGATACGTAAATAACATTGTCTTTAGGATAATATTGCTAAAAAATAGAGTAAGGCTTTGTTGCTATTTTTGTATGCTACATGTAACTTCGTTAAAACATAACGTTAAACCCGAATTTTTGCTTCTTTTATTCTTTTCTAATTGTTTTCTGGTTTTAAAAAGAAAAGAAAACATTTTTTTGAAATTTCTATTCTATAAACAAGTTTAAAAAAATGTTTTTTATTTGGTTTGCTGTCGTTTTTTTAAAAAGCCTTCAAATTTTTTTCGTGGAGGTAGAGATGCATCAGTAACTATAAATCCAAGCGCTAGTCGAATACAGCGATATTTAGAAGCTCACGGAGTGACACATAGAAGAAAAGCGGATCAATTCGAAAATCGCGCGAGGCATCTGAGAGAGGCGCAACACGTGTTTGGACGCGTGAGGAAAAAGACGGTGAAAAATTGCAACTCGTGTTAAACAAGCATGGAAAGACGAAAAGCCGACGAGATAAGAGAGCTTCCCCGCGAGCTTCTCAATGACAGCATCGTCGTCTAGCGAGACGTCGCATCGATTTATGGATTTTCCGTCCTATAAATAAGTTACCGGGTTTTCATACAAAATGCGCGACAATGCGGAATAGTGAGTAACGACAAGTTCGTAGATGGATTTTAGATCCAAAAGGAATTATACGAATATATTAATCGGAGCAACTTTCTCGTATTTCTCTGGCTATCGACGTTCTTTTTTTTTACGTTTTAATGCACAGAATTTGTCTCCGGATTTACGAGATCCAGGAGATCCTATTCCTAATGTCTACAAGAACGTGTCGCACGAGCGGCATCAGTCCCGAAGATATGCGTCGTATGATAATTCCGTACGTGACCGCGATTTGCAGAGAGAGATTTAACTCGTCCGTGGAAGCTTGTGTCAGGCACGTTGAAACGAGACTTTGAATATTCCTCGGATATTGGCGAAAGCGGGATTTGCAGTTTAATTTATTCCAATTGGTTAGAAAAAAAAAACAAGTGATCTGCCGACAAAACAAGTGTATTTTAGACTTCATGAGCGTGAGTTTGCAATAAGGAAGCGATAAAAAGATTAGCATTCTTGTCGGATATTCCAGCTTAAAGAAAACAATTTGAATGACGATTTTAATCTTTTTTTTTTTTGTTACAAGTAAGTTTTCTAAAATTGTGAGAATTGCTGCTTTTCTTTTATATAGCGACAAAAAATACAACATACCTTATACTACGGGGAAGAACGAGTGCAGTCGGTTCCATATCGTCAAAGTAATTCTCGTAGATGTTGATCGCATTATTCTGCAGTACACAGCATTCCATAGGCTAAGCGAATAAGTTAATAAATTGATAATAGGATTACTACCTAATCCTCTTATCTTATACTAGGTTTTTCGCATTAAGGGATATTTAGAGTAAATGCATTTACTTTAACTAAGATTACATGTATAACATACATATTTTAAATCTTCTTAGATTATTCGTTTTAACTTTAATTGACTATGTTTTCAAAATTCCGACATTAAGAATATCAAGAAAGTTATACCAGAAATTGAACAGCAAACATCGATATCTTACACAAATAATTTATTTTCCGTGTAACGCGCTTGAAATGATTAAGAGGATATTTTATAATAGATATATTTCAAAGTGAGCTCACGTCAATGAGGCTCTTCATCTTCGGCGCCCAATACTCGTCCTTCACCACGCGCCGACGAAATCTCAGCACGGCTTCGTCGTCCTTCACGTTTATCTCCTTAGGCCAACCGCCCTCCAAGTGTAACATCCCGCTCTCCTTTGTTACCTTATGAGCAGTCTGCATCTGACGTAAAAATAAAAAGATATATCAGCGAGCTGTGCGCGTAACGATGAAGTTATAAAAGTCTCTCCATTTCTAACCGTTTTTTTATTGCAAAATGTAAAACGTAACACCCCACATTTAACACTTGAGTACCCTTGAGAAACGCGTCACGGTGTTAAATGGTTTACTTAAAGAGAAAACGCGCAATCTCTTATGTCCACTTTCGCTGTATTTCACACTGTATTTCACATTAATCTATATTTTCATCGTGGCGCAGCTTACCTTCCGCAAATTCTTATTCGTATTAATGGGAATTGTTCGCATAAACAATTTATGAGGCATTTTAACGAAAAATTTATATGTTTATGGCATATGTCGTCAAAGGCATGCTAATAAATATTGATTCTTCATGCTTTTGTGAGGTTAAATGCGGTATATTTAATTTTTTCATCGTGAGAAATACGTGGTTTACGATGTAAACTAATACGAGATGCACCGCGAAACAATATTATGTTTGAATTAAACTTTCCGCGAGTTTTATTTAGCGCACTCCCGGGGATTGAAAACCCGCGGATTTCCATCGTAAATTTGGAATTTTTTTTTTTTTTTAGAGAATTGCAGACAATATTTAATTTAAACTGACATAACTCTGATCCCCTGAAATGTAAAAATATTAGGAAGGCTCACGGTCGGGGCGTATTTACGCACGACGCGTTTATTAATTCTTGGAATTTAAATGCCGCAAACGTTAAACTTGCTGCAGAATTAGTTCGACGATGACTCAGCGGGGCTATTTTCATAATCCCAGCTTTCCCGTAAATCCTATGATACAAAGTCTCGAATATAGAAACTCATTAGCATTTGGCCAGTGCGTAATTTACGGATAATCATCTATGCAGCTGATATAATGATACATCTTAAAGATATGTAGCATTATATTATACTAACGTAATAACAGAGTAATCGACACATATTTAAGATATTAATCTAATAATCTCTAATGTCTACTTGTTAAAAATTTTCAACATCCAGCATTTATCTGTGACATTCTAATATTTTCTTCTTTTAGAAGATTTTATTTTCTTTATTACACACAATTATAATTTATATTTCTTTAATAAGAAAGAAACTTACACGAATAAACACTAATAATTTTGTAAGAATAAAGACCAATAATAACCAAGAATTATTTAAGATAAATAATAATTAACAATTAAGATTAATAATATTAATAATTAACAAATAAAAACACACACAATCTCGCTTAAATTCTTTTCTTTTGCGATCTACAATAATTTCCTTACCTCGTGAAGAGCGAATTGCTTGGACATCTGTACGCCACGGTGGCAATGGCTCATGCGGACGTAGTTTCGCATGAGTTCCGTATCCGGCAGGATATTCTCCTGAACGGTCGGGTCGGTCTCTGCGAAGAAGCATTGCTTACCGAACTGCGACCTTGGTTTGATGTATGCGTACTGGATCAGCATTATCGGAAATCGTTCTTTAGTAGGTTGTGGGACGTAAAACGAGGGAAAACGATGACAGACTCGCGCAAACAGAGACGAGACACCTCCGTTAAATTATTTAGAGGGTGGGGCAAGGAGGAAATCGGCGAACGGTGCAGGTTGCACATTTATCTAACCGCTGATACTTTTCACGCACGAGCGCCTGACGTCGATCGTGATACGCGATACGCTCGATATAGCGTGAAGGGCCATTAAGACGATGTTCAGCTTGTGAAACACGACACGCGAACGAACCATGGCACGTTATGCCATCGAGATTGATGTCACGCGTGTTTCTTCGTTAACGATAAATGTGAAATTATAAATATAGATACGGAAATTATGTGAAAGCTCCAGAAAGAATAGGGGTAAACGGTACAGTTGTTGGCCACTCTACAATGATTGACCACATCTTAAAAAATTAAAGAATATAAAGAATTAAATACTATTAAAATGTTTTTAATTATAAATACAAAAATATTTAACACACTTTTAAACATTTTAATAGTATCTCTTTATAATCTTTAATCTTTTAGGTTCCAATTATTCTAAAGTGGCCGACAACTGTACTGTTTACCCCTATCTTTACAGAAACGAATAGAGGGGTTCTGATTTAATTTAAAGTCTAACTTCATGATCTTATATTCTGATAAGGGAGCAAATTTTCTAGTTTGTTTATCTACGGCAAAAATTGAAAGATGTCCGGAGAAATCGCGCAAGAACAAATCAGTAACTCTCAACCTCGTACAAAGGAAATATTTCTTTGCTAAACAGAAAGTAAATCTCGAGTTGAAAGAAATCGTTTTTGAAACTTGAAAATCGACACGTACGACAACGTAGATGGAACTTGCGAGAAAAACTCGGCGTAATCTTCTCACACGGCGCTCTGTTATCGCGGTACATCCTCTTTGTGCGTCGGCGATTTGATTGCGCGTCAATTCACCGCGCTGGATGCACTCTATGGAATTACGGTACCGCGCGCGCATTCTCGTGCCGTCGGGCCATCGCGATGACATTATCCCTTTGCCGAGAGCACTCACAATTTCTGCGGTCCGCAATCCGGCGTCCGCCAATCAACGCTTTCGCGCCGTCCGATAAATCGGATGAGCCCACCGCCGCCGGGCGCTACACCTAATGAATCAGATTCGATGCGGAGCCACCGGCATTGTGTGATCGATTATCCTCTGCGTACGCGGCGACACGAATCTGAAATTTGGCGATACCCCAATGCCAGATTCAATTTGCGAATTCCTAATGGCCGCGCGGGATCGTGTCGTCCAAAGTTTTAAGAAATTGGAGCTGCACGCAGCTCCAATTCGAGCTATCAGTGCCGAAGCTTAATAGCTGTCGTCAATCGAAAGCGGCATCGCTAATGGAAAGCGGTTTTTAAAATGAAGCTTTTTTTCTGTATAGTTTGTTAATTTATTATGTGTGTACATGGTTTATATAATTCTATTCGACTTTTATTTTTGCAAAGAATTATCTTGTTCCCTATCACATTATAATTTTCATCGCAATTTGCGGTGAAAATGCAATTTGTGGTGATGTTAAATAGAGCGTAGTACCTATAATTTTTTAGTCGTGAAAAATTATTAGTTTATTCTTAAATATTTCCAGTATAAAAATTTCTAGAATCTTTTGGACTCAGAATATTAAGAATTAGCGATTTTATTTTCTTCCATAAAAAATCCGTCTCGAAAAATATATCTCGCGTGTATAGAGCTTAACTAAAGCACAATTTAATTAAAAATTATAAACTGTTTAAATGAAAATTATACGATTATTGGTATGTAATGACGTAACGAAGCTTCGATTACGAACTTCGGAAGATCTACATACGAAATTGACACAACCGCGGCAGTTTGCGCGGACGTGAACTATAATGACAATATTATTCCACGAGTTCCCGAACGGAATTTCTCCAATCAATATCCTCATACGAGTTCTCAAATCAGATAATCCCGGAGAACGGAGCCACTCGTGATGAATCTGATCGATCGAATTGGGGCGTCGCGTATGTGCGACGACACATATCGAAGATGAACCCGGAGCGCGCCGCTAAAGCAATTTAACCACGGATTCTAAACCACGGTAGCGTCGCCGAATGGAAAGTTCGGAATGGAATTCACACGAATCTCGCCTGCGATTCTAGAGTTCCCCGAATTTTGGTGGCAATTAGGACCGATGTTCAATGGACGATCTCCGGCCGGCGGATGGCGGATGGGCCACACGGCGAAGTTACGAGAGGGACTGGAAATTAGTTTGGGTGTGCCGAAATGAAATGATAGAAAGTGATGGATTGTGACATTTATATCGTAATTCTAGAAATCGGATATATACATTTTAGAGCAGACACATTGTAACGTGTACGTTGATACGTATGAACATTGCAATATCAATCAAGCCTCCTCTCATCGCGTACTTCAATCGTTCGTAACTTTTTACTCAGCAAACCGCACACGTTTGATATACGTGTTGCGTCAAAATTTCCGGTAACCACAATAGTTTTCGAAATTCAAATAAATCCAAATGTATTCTTTTTGATTCGCGAGTGTGTATATTATTTTTTCATGACTTTTTTTATTAACTACATCAAATGGGCTGCAGCAATCATAGCTTCATTGTATCTGACAATATTTTAACATTTCTAAAATGTTATTTTGATCTTAACAAGAGAGAAATCGACGATAGAAAAGCGTTGAGGAAGGTAACAAGATCAAAGTCCAACTACAGAAATTCCTGAAGCTTCCAACGAAAGATGTTGGGAGCTTTCTGGCGTAAGGTAAAGTCACGTTGGAAGTCTTAACTTACACTGAGCAAAATGTGTGTTAAAAGAACCGTAAAGATTTTATTCATTTTATATACGGAGACAATGCCTCGCAGTGAACGGTCTTGTATTTATTAAGAAATCTTGTTTATTGGCGAGTGAGAGCTCTCAGTCAGAGCAAATTCGAATACTGCAGATGCTTCCAAGATTTTATATTTCTTGCGTAAATAATACGTCTTCTCATCTAGGTGTTTACAAAGACGACCTCGATGCAGCATTCATTTACGATACCGAGAATACTATCAGAGAATTTTATCAAGGAAGAATCTCATTCATCCCAATAGGACAAGATTTGCGAGATGAATATTCTGCCTAGAATCTTGACATTTTTATCGCATGAAAAATTGCGAATGACACACGCATTAAACGAGTCCCTGAAGATTCCGCAGAGATTACTGGCGTTACACATTGCTCCAAGTCGCATGATTTCGTACAGAAATTTTAGTACGGGAAAAAATGATTCTACAATTGACGATTTGTTACTTCTGCGACGTAATATTAACAAAGGCACAATTACACGAGTGAAACAAGGAAAAAGCACGCAGTCCAGCTGCGAGAAGGATGATACGAAACCACGCCGAGAACGCAAGGATCATCAACAGTCGGCGGAATCCTGTGAGAAGCCGCGCGAGTGGCGCAGCGATGGTTACCAGATACCGACAGAAAGTTATCGAAAGACTTGCAGCGACTTATTGAGCCATCGCGAGTATTACCAGTCGATTGAATCCAATTCCCCGATCTGCGCGAACAAACCTGCACCGTATAACGATTGGCAAGCATGCGAATCATCGAAACACGAGTCCTACGAATCGAAACCAGCGACTCGAATAACATCTGAGAAATGGGTTTGCGGAAAACCGGCAACGGAGCGAAAGATCTATTATAAATGCAAGCCGAAACCATGCATTTATCCGGGGAGCCAGGAAAAAGCAATATGTTTTCCATCATCGCGAGATCATTACAAAGATAAGCCGGATGAGGTAACGAAAGACAAGTCGAAGCAAATTGCAGCTTATCCTACGCAGCGATGTCCTGAATCAGAGCCCACGTCTTCCAAAAAAATTATATTGAATGAGAAAAGAACTTCTCCTGTGAAACATAAAGTACCAAAAGAGCGTTCCGCATCAGATACACACGAGTACGATGTAAAACTTGATCCTCCGCCACCAAGATATCCACATTGGAGCGAGAATCCACCGTCTTATTGCAACCATCGCTTGAGGAAGACATCTTTACCCCCTGTTAAAGCTTCGCCAATTCCTAAGAAAGGACCGCGGAGATCTCGGGCGAAAGACACCGCGTCATCTCTGCAGAATATTCATGAGGATTCCAGCAGGAGTGCGAATGAAAATGAGCGCGGCAGAACAGATGCCAAGGCGTTGCGGAAAAGTGTATCGAGAAAACGTGTGATTTCCTCCGAGGACAAATGCGCCGCTTCTTTGACAATTCCCGCGCCTGTCGACAAAACGATGGAATCTGAAATTCAACAATTTCCTACGCTGACGAAGGACGGTCGTTGTTGCGCTGGGAAACCTGAAAAGAAACCTGGCACGTCGGACGTTAACGATTGCAATCCCAACATGGCAAGTTTCAAGTATCGATTGAGTAAGTGTCCTTGTATTAAGGAAATGTGGGGTATCGGCGTCAAACGCGAGCCACCTGTTGACGTTAGTGCGCGGCAAATGGAAGGAGCTCTTTTGTCCCACGGTAGGAAGATGAAGAGACCAGAATCACGGCCAGGAACTACCGGAAGAAGAAGAAGGAGATTCAGGCCGCGGACACCGGGTAACGGATGGACGCGACAGAGGTACAAGGTTCGCTTGAAGATCTTTCAGAAGGGAAATGGACGTCTCGATCCTTGTCTCCCGCGGATCGTCGAACTGATACACCCGCGCGGCGAAGGAATCAGACCGAAGCTATTAAAGTCTGCCGCGGACAAAGGCGAATTTTCTTCGCGATCGAGAAACTCGTGCCCGCATTATTGTTCACCTAAAACGCCGATTGCCGAGACGAAAAGTTATCCGACGAAAATGGACGAGAGCAGGGTGATTCGCGATCAATACCTGGGAAAACATCCTTGCAAAAAGCATCGCTGAGCTTTCGGAAACTACTTTGCGATGTAGAATATTTGGAATTTGCGTTGATGGATTGAGTCAACATTTATTTCAAGAACGTTCAAAATTTACACTTATGTCATACTTTTGGTAAGAATATAAACTTTAATGCCTGGAAAAGAGACCCAAATATATATGTATTATAAGCGCAAAATAAAAATTTTTTAAATAGTACATTAATAGCATTGTTTTAAAAATTGTAAAAATTTTAGATACAATTCAGTTATCAGTAAATTATATTATTAAAAAGTAGCGTGTGTTTGCTTAACTAATATTTTTTACTATTATTTTACTATTATAGTTATTTTTGAACAATTATTTAATTTTACTAAAATGATGGCAATGACAAGCTCTCAGCGACCAAACATTTTTAGAGTGCCCATTTAATTTATTTTGCTTTTTGTTTATATTAATAGGAATAGCATAACAGCTTTTTAAGTGAAATATATGCACGAGACATGCAAAGGTGACATTATAAAGGCGTATAGGAAGGGAGGCGCGGAAATGAAAAAATGCAGCTTGCGCGGCTCGAGACGTGGCTGCAAAAGAAGTCTGTTCGCAGCAGCTGGCCTCCAACTTTTCACGTTTATCATTATCTCACCCTCTCGTCGTACACCCTTATTTTTGCACTCGGTGGAACAAACTTGCGCATCAAACGCCGTTGTTTTATGGCCAGTATACATTTTCATTTCTGTCGGGGAAATGATATATCTCGTAGCCCTAATAAACGCGACTCGGGATTTAGTGAGCATTTATCTTGTCTACATCGACGAAAAATAATGGGGGAAAAATGAAAATGCGCGAGTTTGCGTTAATCCAATTCCAATAATTAATGCGGAGTCGTGGTAGATTTTGCACATCTCCCAATTTATGTTCTCCCGATATAGTTTTACATGGCTCAAATATTAAGTTGTTATGTGAGTCTAAATTTCTAAAAGGCATTTTTGAGATATTAAAATTTGTAATACAACATACAACATACTTGTGTCTAATTATCTTACATAGTTGTATTCACGTATACGTGATGCATATTTCTGTCAAGTTTTGAAGACTTGATTTATATATTTAGCATCTCTTTCTACATACCTTTAATGAGTTTATAATACATACAAGCGTGACGGATGTTATATCCGCTCTTGTGACTTCAAAATTGCTACCCACTTATAAGTACGTTAACCCGCACTCGTTTTTTCTCTTCATTGAAATTGCACGCAATTAAGGAGCACGGTAAAACGGCGGAAGAACGATCGCCGCTCGTAATGTTCACGATTGTTAACTTCTAATTGAACACCGATGTACTACAACCGGACGGCCCAGGTCGGTCGTTTTCTCTAACGGGCACGATATAACGAAAACCGCGTAGCGACATTTTCACGATACTTACGCGGAACGGTTTCACATTGTTGCAGATAAACGATGATTGGTTCCACATGGAGCATCGATCCGTGGCGAAGAGGTCGACGGAACCCCATCTCCAAGTGCACCAAAGACTAATGAATGACTCCAGCGTACGTCGAGCGGAGCAACAGCGGGCAAAATCGCGCACCAAAAGGGATCTTATAATCAAACGTCCGTCCAATATACTAACCATGTTAAACGACGAGAGGTGGCCTCAAATGTGGTATCTGGTAAGCAATTTTAATCAACAGTACATTATCCTGTATACGACAAGATTGTTATGTCGCACCGAATAAATAAACACACGTGATTTCATGCAATTAAACTAATTAAAGTGTCAAAGATAAAAATAGAATATTTGAATCGAAAATTTAGTAAGTTATGTTTGTGCTTATTTTTTAAAAAGGTACAATTTTATTTATTACATTGCGAATAATATTTCCAGATTAAACCGAGATTTACATTCAATTTAACAATAATTACACACTTTTGATATTATCGACAAACGCATAAAAGTATCCAGTAACATTTTATGAAACTTCTTTGAAAGAGTTATAATGCGATTAACAAGAACAATACAAATAAAATAAATAAAACAATGTAATGAAAAATATATAATAAAAATATAAAACGAGCTTGATCGATATCGGCTCTCAGAAAGGACGTTGACGTTTATATCGTAAATAAAGACTCACAGTCCACAGCCGGAAAGTGGCACGTCGAAAGTATTGGATAATTTTTTCTTTCAGAACCGGGGAAAGGGTTTGGACATGAACGTGCAGGGTGCTTGGGCTGAGGGAATTACTGGAAACGGCATCGTGGTCACAATACTTGACGATGGATTGGAGAAAGATCATCCTGACCTTTTCAAAAATTATGTGAGCATTTTCAGTATTGTATTACGTTTTCGAAAGGTTTATCGACTTCTCGATTTCTATGAAAACTCTTTTCTCGCGTGACAATAAAGTGACATTTTCAATATTAGAAAGCAGCAACTCTAACTCTTTTAACTCGCGTTAAAATGTATCGCGAGCTAGATGCAGTTGTATTTAAGTAAATTGCGTTGTGCAATTTTTCATGACAGTAATCTTGCAAAGTAGCTTTCTATTTGATTAAATTTGCGCGAATAAGTAAAATTGCAGGCGCTTAATATCTGCCTAATATCACTCGATGGACGAGTGTTCGATACATTCGATGACACGAAAAAAAAGAGAGGAAAAAGGGAGGAAAAGCTTCGGAACGCACAATAGAGTACAGCGGATGAAGGCGTATCGCGGATGCACTGGGAATATCGGCTGTTGAGCCGGTTGAGCGCGAATATTGGAAGGGGTTATCCGGTGCATGTATATACCGAATAGCTATTGATTCATGGATGGTTACATTGAATGAGGCATCTGCGCACGCAGTAGAAAGTGAATCGTATTAAGCCAGTAGACACACGCTTGCGATATAGCGCGCCTTGGCGCGCTGCTCTGATTATGCGAGCTTATATCCCATCGCGTGTATTTCTCATTATGCAGATGATCCATAAATGAATAGGTATTAAGAAGATATCCGGATGTACGTGATCAAGGATTAAAGCGTAATACGCCGTCGCTCTAACGACGAATACACATATATTATTATAATTTTTTTCTTATAATCCTCCCGTCACGTATTATCTATTCGAGATATCTCTCTGAGATAAAAAGAACTAAAAATTTATTGCTTTCAAAAATTTTCAACATCCTTAATTTTGTATTCAAAACTTGTTAAAATCTTTGTCGAGTTTATACGCTAGATGTACTTTTACGACGGCTTTACGGTTACTATGTGCGCGCTAATTCATTTTATTTGTGCATACCAGTCGTCATATCTCGCGATGAAATAGAAGCGGAATAAGCGAGCGAGGTACATCACGAAACGTGTGAATTTTAATTAATGCCATTCTCGATTTCTGTTGTAGGATCCTCAGGCGAGTTACGACGTCAACAGTCACGATGAAGATCCTATGCCGAGGTACGATCTGGTAGATAGCAATCGACACGGCACCAGATGCGCCGGAGAGGTCGCAGCCACTGCCAACAATTCTCTTTGCGCCGTAGGTGTTGCTTTTGGAGCTGGCGTAGGTGGTGAGTGTTCTGCGAAGAGGATTATTTAATTTCTCGATGCACTTTCGAAATCAAAAGGGGTTCACGTGCATTAAAAAAAAATTCTTTTACATATATTTTAGAGCCCTGATGAGCTGTGAAGATTTTTATTTTAATCTGTGTCTTCTCTTAATCTTGAATTGCAGCGCGGGAGTAATAAAAAATTTTAATTGCTCTTTTAATAAAAGCTTATGGCGAAAAAGTTCGGGATAATATAAAAAATAAGATATTAAAAAACTTTTAGCAAGAGAAGGGTAGAATATTTAAGTACTAAATCGTCGGAAATGACAGTTCAATTCCGAGCGATCGCTTAAATTCTATTTGCAGTTCTGTTTCCAATTAGCAGCAGCGAAGTCGGATGTTGGAACGTCGTATTACGACGAACGACACGTGTTTGTAATAAGCAGAATTGATATCGCGAGGTCGCATCATTTTCGAATTAGAAACGCAATTGGCAATAGCCTGTTATGTACATTACATTCGGGACTGATCCAAATCGGTGCGCGGTGTCCAATTTCGACCTTGTAAATTGGATTTCCCTATTCTACGCGCCGTGACAATTGTGTATGATAATTAACTCAAACAAGAAATGTACGCTGTGTTTAGCAGTTTGGAAACTCTTGATGTACGTGTGTGCATATTTCTGAATATATTCTCAGAAAACCAGTCTTAAACGGATCATAAAAAATTCACGTAGAAACTTACATACATGCGAAGAATTAGTTATTTATGAATTTAGTATATATGCTATTACAATACTGTGTAATGTTGGTTATTAATTTTTCGTAATATCTTCATACAGGTGTTCGAATGCTGGATGGCGACGTAACGGATGCCGTCGAAGCAAGATCCTTGAGCCTTAATCCCCAACACATCGATATTTATAGCGCCTCATGGGGACCGGATGACGATGGCAAGACTGTAGACGGGCCTGGTGAACTGGCCACCAGAGCTTTCATCGAGGGAATTACCAAAGTGAGTGTTTGTCGTTGAGAAATATATTATTTATACTCTGCATGTGACTCGCAAATTTATTTACGCGTTATTAGTTACGTTAAAAATTCTAAAGTTTCTTAAGTCCGTTATTTATAATTTGTCCACACGATTTTATTTATTTTCTGTATTCTTCGAACAGATAAAGTAAATTACGCTTATATTTATTTTTAACTTAGTTTCGGTAGCTGAGACGACAATGTTTCTAGCTAAAAAATTAGATCTGTCCAGAAAATTAATTTAAGATCGGAGTATTTCGTAAAGCTGTCCAACAAATGCAATTTTCTTCGTAAATAATAAATGCTCTTCGTTTAATCGAGGGATTAAGGATTACTCGTAATAGAAGGTTCTTAATTGTCATATCTTTTTCAATCTCTAACAAGTTGAAAGAAAGTATGCCGCGTGTCTTGAAGCTTTAGACTTCGACGTAGCAGCGTAATCCACTTAGGACTGCAATTTTCTTCGCTATAATTTCCTACGCTATGACAAGATAAATGCAATTAGCTACAAGGTACCTTCCGTACGACATGGAAGCTTCTAGTTTGCTTTAAGATACTTCCTTATTCTCAAGCGTCAAGCAGGGGATTTTAAAGCTTCGTTAGCTTTGTTAATACGTTACATAAAGAGGCAGTAACTATAGAATTCAAATGAAATACTCTAGCTATACGGAAACTCTTAGTAGGTCAGATGATTTTTAATAAAAAATTAATTGAGGATTTAATCAAAGTTTTTTTCTATTGAGAAATATGTAGAAAATTCTTAGAAGAATAATGTATTTGCGAAAATAACAAGTGCCAATCGATAAAGTATTTAACATGATGTTGCGATACTGAAATGCCAACGCGAGAGGTTGTTTGCTCCAAACTGGAAATTGTTACCTTCCGGTTTTCCACTATTTTTCTAAAAATCGAGATTCCTTTATACAATTACTCTTATCAATTACCTATAAAGGCCTATATTCTCAACTATCTTTTATTGACAAAGCGCATTAATTTTTTATTTGAGAATAAAAAAGGAATTTAATAGCTGTCCTGTTTAAAGTTGACGAACTTCGAGTTCAATTATCGCCTTCTTATTGATTTCTTACGTCTTACGCCAAAGAAATACATTTAACTCGTTAATGCTTTTCTTTGTGGACCTAAATAGACAAGAAGAAGTTGCTTTAAGTGCTGTAACTATTATAAATTTCTCACTCAAGCATAGAGAAAATTTAGACATTCGGTTTTCGACTACGAGACAGTAATAAGTATGTATCGAATATAATTTTAGATTACATTATAATTTTAATATCATAATTCTATTATTATATTCTTCTCAATAATTTTGTATACATTTTTTATCTACTTCTTTTCTTTAAGAATTTTTTTAATAATAAGGTGCTGAAAAAACATTATATCTCTTCATAAATAATTACGCGATCGTCTTTTCATCTTTTAATTAAAGATTTAATAACGTGCAAATCTATTTTTATAAAAACAGAGAACCAGTTTAAATTCAATTTTATTATTTTTAAAATTATTAATTATGGTTATTTATTGTTAGGAATTTTATAAAATATTATCGCGTACAGCAAAACGTACACACGTGGATATCTCATCGCGTTTCTTCGAATCTCGTTCTCTTCGGAAGCAAAATTCGCCCGTTTGCCATTAATACGATTCGCACGCTCGTGTCCGAACAACGTCGCGGGATGAAATGAAATTCGCACAAATGTATCACGCAGAAGCATTCCTCTGAAGTCTTCCGAGTTTCAGTGGCGACAATGGCCATTGTCATCTCGATGTATACGCCTCGGCACTTCGATCGCAGCGTTCCTTTATCGCGATGGCGAACTTTAGCATTGAGAGGGCCCCTACTTCAAGTAACGATCATTAAAGCGCAGATACCTAGCATTAAAACGGAGCCATTAAATGCTGCGGAGAAACTCCGGTAAAGATGCTCTGTATCGCCCATTTCTATTATCTGCTCGATTCACACGATCTTGTGTCCTATTTTACAACGATCATAGCCAGCAATTTGAAATATTCAAGTTTATTGTTAGCCTTTTTAAAGTTATTTTTTTATAATTTCTATAATCGTTGATGTTAAAATTTATACAGATTAATATATAGTTAATGACTTATTAGCGTTTTATTAATGCATTGGTATTTTTTTTACAACATTAAAATGTTAACTAAAAGTTACAAAGTACTGAAATGAGATATAACAATACGTCAATAGGTAATGTTTTCTGAATTATCACTACGTTGACCAATGTCCGGTAGTCAATGATTGACTTCCTTCGATGCGACATCGCAGTCGTCGACGGAATTATCGACGGAACGATGACAGATGTAATTCGATTAGTTGAGACGATGAGGAACTCCTCCAGTTAGATCCGGTTTAATAGACTCGCTCGAGAGGTCAACCCTCAGAAAGTTTCTAATTGGGTGCTTTTAAGCGACTGGCCGGCTTGAGCTACGCTAACACGTATTACCATTTTAAACTTACTGCCGGCAATGTAACTGTAAATCATATGCAAATGTCAGTATGGTCGATACAGAACTGGTGGAAATTCATGATAACTATCGAGTAAAACATATATAGCAAATGGATCACAGGTGCACTTTCGTTGAAATTCATAAAAGATGAGCGTAATAATCGAAGCAATAAATTGCCATGTAGAGACATTTCCATTTGTATATTATAAAGTAGATTATGATAAAGATTATGATAAAAATTATCAAAAATGAAAAGATCAAGCGGAAAAAAGTCACAGAACAAATAAATAATTATTATAAATATATTGCTTAAAAACAATAATTAAACAAATTTCTGAAGTAGTACCTATATATAAAATGCATATTATTGGCAAATTTAAAAAAATTATAAAATATATTATATCGTTCTAATTACAGCTTTTCTTTATTTTAAATGTACGCAAAACGTTCTTGTATATTGTAGGAGTTACTTGTATCTTGTATCCGGTGAACATTCGTAAATAGGATAAACGAGTAGTAAAATGAGTAACGTTTAAATCATTTCCTGGCAGCGATATTAAATGGCCGTCATACCGTAGAGATTGCTTTCATCTCGTGATATCTTTTAAGTCATTTCACGCGATAGAATTCAAAGTCGACATCTGTATTTTCCAGAACCGATTTTTATTAACTACTCACGAACATTTTACGGCTAGAAACGAAATCAAACGTAGGAAAAAATTTTAATTAGCCTCGAGAAACTTTCTTTGCGTGATTTTTTTTACCTAAATCTTCATTTATTTAATCAAATTGGTACAATATAGTTTATGTTGTATTAATATAAATGTATTATATAACATTTATACATAACTTACACAACATTATATCTAGTAATTGTATGTTTATTAAACATCTATTTTTTTTTAAATTACGATTTGTTTTTAAAGAGATTGAAATCTATAATATAATATTCTAATATTAAATGTAATGCAAAATTAAAAGATGTAAAACATGATTAAAAATTCACGTAATATAATACATCTTTATAGTTAACCAATAATATTCTTATAATAGCTCTCTAAATACTCTATTTTAAAAGATGCGATAAGCTTACGTTGGTTATATCAATGTTTAAGACACACAGTTTAAAAGACAGTACTGATATATCAAACCACTACGTTGTTCCGGGAGCTGTTTATCTTTGCGTGCTGTTATACATATATCTAACTGAACGCCAATTCCTTTTGTATAACATTATACACTATCTTCGACCAAGATAAATACGGACTGGCTCGGAATTCTCTTTGGGGCCTGTTATCAGGTTTGATAATCTCACCCTTTAGTCGACAGAATTGTAACTGTGGGATTTATATGTATTTAATGGAATTGCGTAAAAGATGTATGCATATTACGAATTATTATCGAATTAATCCATACTGCACTTAGAAATTATTAATTTGGTGTAAATTACACAATAATTTCAATATTGTCTGTTAACAATTGTTGTATAGGTCGAATTTAGCTATGTCTGATACAGTCAGGTGGATACCTTATCACTTTACGATCAAATAGCTTTACTGATCAAAGGCTCGAACACTATATTGCTGAATTAGTTAACGTCGAGCCTCAAAGAGAGTTCAGAGTTCGCGGTCACGCCTAGTGTACCTTAGTACCAAACGGCTGGTCTTATCACGAGATTGCCGGACCTTCGAACTTGATAAAAAGTGCACCTGTAAAACTAAACAATATACTTATATATGCCGCAATAAGTATCGTATAAATCCCGAAGTATTTATAACAGAAAGATTCGTGATTTAACTCAATGATAAAATCTGCATATGTGACGAGAGTAAGTCTTTTGTACGTGATCTTGCCGAAGATTAGAAACTTGATTGCTAAAATTCCCCTTTTAATCTCTGACACGTACAAAATTGGAGTGTTTCTCGTTACGAGTTCAAGACACACAATTCAGCGCCGATCTCACGGAGACCATTAGCGCTAAATACTCAGCCTCATCGACTTTCTAACAATGGTTTCGTTCCGAATCATCTACTATTGTGTGTCTACGGGCGCACAGAAAGCGGCTTTAATATGCAAAGTGTTTGAAACTTCTAAAAGCGCCTTAAGCGTTTCGAGCAACTTAAAGCCAAGCACCAGTGAAAAAAAGTCAATCGCCAGTATTATCCGGAGCGGTAAATCCAGATTTACTTTAGTTTGAACCACCGAATAGCTTGTTAAATCTCGCTGTTTTAATGCCGCAGCCTAAATTTGTTCGAGCGCGTGTTGTAAAGTTCTCAAAATATTTTTATGCATGAAGACTGCCTTAAATATTTTAAAAAGCTCGAATTGTTATACGGTCCATGTATAACTGTTATACATATAGTTCAATATGTACATATATATTAGCTTCCTCCTTCGTAAAGTGAAGTAAAAAAACTTTAAAACGCTGTTTAGGGTCGCAACGGTAAAGGTTCGATCTTCGTGTGGGCGTCCGGGAACGGCGGCCGGGACCACGATAACTGCAATTGTGACGGCTATACCAATAGTATATGGACGCTGTCGATCAGTAGTGCGACAGAGAACGGTCTTGTGCCCTGGTACAGCGAGGCGTGTTCGTCCACCCTCGCCACCACGTATAGCTCGGGCTCTACCGGCGAGAAGCAGGTCGTCACTACGGATTTGCATCATCACTGTACCAGCAGCCACACCGGCACGTCCGCATCGGCGCCGTTGGCGGCCGGCATTTGCGCCCTCGCCCTCGAAGCGAATAGAGATCTTACTTGGAGGGACATGCAACACATCGTAGTCAGAACTGCCAAACCTGCGAATCTGCAGGCACCCGACTGGGTGGTCAACGGCGTCGGTAGAAACGGTGAGTGATCATCAAATTCTTAATAGAGAAAAAAGATTTCTTAAAGATTAAACGTGCATGATCTTCATAAGGAGAAAACTGCAATTATATTTATTACGTAAAGACAGTTAAATCGCAAAAGTTGCAATTTTTTTTGTAGAAGATAAATGTAACAGTAATATAACCGATTAACATTTATTTCTTTTCTCTAGAATAGTTTAATAAATCCGTTAAAGATTTATTTAGAAAGAAATCTTATAAAATAAATATAGAATTCTAATCTAGATAATAAAATTCATTGATAAAGAATGAGATAAAAATGTTGCGATCCAATTTCTGTTTAACAGTGAGCCACAGCTTCGGTTACGGGCTGATGGACGCCACTGCCATGGTACGCTTAGCGAGAAGATGGAGAACCGTCCCGGAGCAACACAGATGCGAGGTATCGGCGCCACATACAGGCAGGTAAGTGCTCAAAAAAATTACGCCTATTAAATAAATAATAGGAGTTTTGAAGGTCTTCTTTATTTAAAATATCGATATACACGAAGAAAAATGTTACAATTATACAAAGTATATCATCAGCTTTAAGAAAAATGTTCGTGTAGGTGAGCGAAATCGAGATTTGATTCGACTGTATAGATCGCTATCTGCCCCTTGGGGGAACGAACATGTCTCTCGCAGATTACAGATTCGTTCGAGCGTGTCGGCTACCGTCAAGCGGGCTTTACTCGCCTGAAATTGCACTGGAAATCACGTGTAATGCGCCATTTACATTGTCGAGGATTGTAACGAATGGGGGACAAATCGCACGTTGCTTTGAACGAACGTTTACATAACTGAAAATATAATCATTTTGAAGTTGTGCTCCTCTAAAGCCACTAAACATAAAAGCCGTAGTCGGAATTTTATGTATACAACAATCCTATAAAAGGTTTGCGCTACTAATAAACGAGTAATTAAAAATTACCAACGCGATTTAATATTTATTATTTTATCGTTTTAAAATTATATCCGTTGTTGAAAAAACAGTATTATAATCGTTTTTACAATTATCTTACTGTTCAGACAAACTCGTTATCAGTGTGTGTGTTTCACTTATTTTATATATTAATATATCAACACTAAAAGGATTTTTATCTTATACTAATATGCTAACATCTAAAGGATTACTAGTTTCATAAAAATTGTAAAATAAAATAATTACATCTTAAATATAAAAATATCAAGTTATAACTTGATATCGAGAAGTAGTACAGTTCGAAGGGTATAAAAGTATTTAACAAATAATGCGCAATTGACCGAATTGCCGGGGATTTAAACGACAAAAGGATGTATCCACTTAAAAAAATACCTGCGAAAAATTGTATGCGCTTGACACTTGACCCGAATTTCGTCTACTTTCTAGGACAATACCGCCGAAGAGCCAATTGGTCCTCGACTTACATGTCAAGGAGTGCAGCGGTGTTAATTTCCTCGAGCACGTTCAGGTAAGCTGAGCATGTCATTCGCAAGTGACATCGGCTAATTAGCGGATTTCGTGTAGACTACGAGAAACGCAAACTCGGACGAATTTATTTCGAGGACGAAAATGTTTTGCCGGCTGAAGCTGAAAGTGGCAGAATTTTATTTACTTCTCGTTTGAATAAACTAATTTGTTTGTCACCGTTTTATACCGCCTATAGAAAACTAAAAGCAAACTGTAACTCATGCTAAATAGTTATTTAATTCTCGCCAAATTAACTTAAAGTATATTAATGAGTGCATTTGCCGGCGAAACGTAATTACTAGATCCGGTGCAGATCTGTTAAAGAAAGTAAATGAATTAAGTTAATTACTCTTAAATAATTATTAGTTACACGGCGCAAAATTACTTCGTAAAATCTACACGTCTGATTTATTCTTTTCTTTTTAGACGAGCTAACTAGCAGAATTAGGTGTATATGTGAAGTTAATAAATTATTGTTAATAAAATATTGTTTAAAAAAAATAAAATATTTTGACATTAATTTGAAAATTTGTCAAGTTTCAGTTTATTTGCATAAAGATCTGTGTAGTAAATCATAAATGTTCATAATGAAAAATACATGCACGTATAATTGATGATAAAGACACAATGGTATGCTTGTCATAGGCGAAGGTATCGCTGATGGCAGCGAGACGAGGAGATCTTCAGATACAGCTAACGTCTCCTCAGGGTACAAAGAGCACTCTCCTTGCTAAAAGGCCGCACGATATTTCGAAGGCCGGTTTTAGCCAATGGCCATTCATGTCTGTGCATACATGGGGAGAGAGGCCGCACGGCACCTGGAAATTAGAAATTCACAATGAGGGTCGATACCTCGGTAAGTCAATCGCATCTTCTCGTATTTCGCGTTCTTGCATAATCATTAAAGCTTAATTAATAGTGATGAGGGAATTACGCAACACTAATTAAGACTTATATCTTTAATATCCCATGATTTTTATTGCTAATAACTAACTGTCAATTATACAGACTAAACTAATTAAAATTATTTATCGCTGAAACTAATCTGCTCAATTCGGTTTTAACATTTTTTTTTTATTAAGCGGTATCCATAATTAATGTAGAGAATCTAATCCGATTTTTAGTACATTTTGAATTAAAAAAAAAAACCTAAATTTGAGAAAGTTATAGCTTGCTAAAGTTTCTTTGATGACAGCAACTTCAAAAGATTTCGCATATAAGGTATGACGTCACAACACATTTTCGTGTACTATATTTTCTTCAATTTTGAAGATATTGCAAAAATTCAAAAAGTTTACAAAGAAAGTATGCCATAATCTATCAAATCGCTTAATAAAAAAAATTTATGTTAAAACCGAATTGTCAAAGAATTATTTAGCTGGAAATAATTCTGAAAACAAATATTAATTAAAATTATTTATAACATTAGAAAAATCGTATTTGTCATCCTGATAATAATTTCTCTCATTTTTATCAAAATTTAGAAGTCTCTTTTTAAATTAGTTAGATTTACAAAATCTTGTAATGCAATTAAGAAAATTATCTATTTACGATATAAGAACGTCAAATCACGATTCTTCTACATTAAAAAATTAATGTTAATAATTAATATATTTGTTAAAATAACCAATCAAATTAATTGACAAATGTTTCAAGAACATTTTAATATTCTCAATGATATAAAATTCTCATCGAACTCTTTTTAAAGTTTCTTTAAAGGGTAAGATTTCTTTCAATCATTATATGGAACATACGACATACAATCAACTGACATTTATAAAAGACCATTATGCGAAATCTTAGATTCAAACGTCAAGAACAAAGCACTTTGTAGATTATGCCGGCATTAACTCTCGCATTCGAGAGATGCTCTGCGGTTGATTTAAATTTCAAATAGAATTCTACGTTGTTCGCCGCAACAATAGTTTCTAAGCGCCTCAGTAGCGTCTTCGTAAGGTCACGGTTACCAAGTTCCCTGTCAGTTGCATCTTCCAGTCGAAGATCCCCGCAAGAAATTTGCTAGATATTAACATCTATTTCTGACTTACATCGAAAGAAATATTGTATAAGAAATTAAAAAAAAAAACGCTAGAATTATCCGTGATATTCTCACAATCTTGATCGCTCTTCGAACTATTGTAAATCGTATCGACAAAGGATTAACCGATTCATACGCGTGATATCCGGGCGGAATGGCTTAGACATGTCTAGCATTGCATGCGCATCCTGCGATCCGATGCCGAGTTGGTGTTCAACTCCGCGAGATCCTTCGAGATTCCACCGCATTCTCGCAGCCCTCTCTCCCCCGTCTGGGACGCGACCGAGAAAGCTCTTACATATAAGACCCATTTGTGCGCGATCGCCTAAGAAGCTGCATTATCCGCGCAAGGCGGATAATTGCCGGCTTCGAGCTCTGTATGCTGTTCGCCGCCCTTAGCGGCAAATAGCAGGGAGACATTTCGCCGCGCGGCGACGAACGCGGCCGATCTAACCGGGTAAGGTGCAAGCGTTAAAGCCACTTCGAACTGCTTCCGTGTCGGCTCATCAAGGTCGATGGCTACGTAAACTTCCTCTTATGCGCTTATGCACCGCCGACCTATATTGCTATAGAGCGCGCATCCACATCCATTGTCTCGAATTGCGTTCCAGAGGCGAGAGGAGGGTCGTGGGAATATTCGAGACACTGTTAAACCATCTCGGTGTTAATACACCGCCACAAATATTCCGTGGACGTGTCTTGTAGTTTCTGAATGCGACGTGCTTATGCGCCGTCGCGACGGGGACCTCTACGAAGGATACCCTCGTTAATTCTGAGACGTTCTTGTTAATTTCCGTTAAGACGACCGCTGAGGATAACGCGCATTACAGCTCCATCGAACTACCGACATTTAACCGACGACGAACTTCTGTTCGTTTAATCTTGTAACCCCGTATAATTTTCGACGTACTATTTCGTTTATGTATCGCGTCATTCGACACCCCAGTAAGCATCGCGATACATTCCTGTCTCTTTTTAACCATGACGTCCGCTTTCTTTCCGCTGCATTTCACGGACGCATACCGGATCACAGGACGCGCTACACTGCACGAGTGGGCGCTGATCTTCTACGGCACCGCGACGCTGCCCGACCGGACCGAGTACGCCCTTTACAATCCGGCCGGCATGAGTATACCCAGACGGCCGTTCGTCAAGCCGCGCGAGACCGTCCCGAAGAGCCAGAACACCCTGACGAAGGGCAAGCAGACGCAGCACAAGTCCGACAAGTCCGGCAGTCTGAGCCCGCCCTACGTGGTGAACGCGCAGATTCAGTCCCAGCGGAAAGGCAAGCCCCGCGGCCAGCACAAGAACGGCAAGTCGGCTAATCGGCCCAAGCCCACCGTTCAAACTCTTCGAGGTCTCACCGGGATGAACAAGGGGCCCAACAACGTGGCCGGTGACGTGCGTTTGATCACGTCGCGGCCACGTGGTAGAAGTACGCCCAGCCCAGTTACCAGCACCGTGTCCCAGACCGTTACGACGACGAAAACCACAAGCAAACAGATTATTACACAGAAGATCATCGACGTGGTTACCGCCTCGTCCCTTCAGAGAGGACTGATCTTGTTGGAGCCGCCGGCAAAGGCGGCCACTAACAAGGTCCCGGCGGTATTTCAGCAATATCCCAAGATCCAACAGCTCTATCCGGTTTACGGTGGGGCTCGCGGCGCCGGTCAACACGCCACGAGGGCCAAAGGACTCGACCTGCTGCAGGACGAACAATTCGACCCAAGAAACCTGCAACTGGACAAGGGTACCTAAACAAATGAGAGTCTCGGCGAGATGTGTCGGTTGTTTAATGGCGACAATCGGAAGCTGTTATGTTTGCGAGAAAATATCATTGCTTACTTTAAATTAGGTTCCTACAGAGTTTAGTCTTAACTGAATTAAATTAAATAATGAACTAAAATCTATAATTGCAAATACAATAAGATACGATTCACTTCTCGTGACTACATATAATTTATATAGTTAAGAGATTTTTAATTTTGTTATTTTGAAATAACGTAGGTTTACATATTTGATAAAAAATTCGAATAAAAAAATTAAATATCAGTATTTACATAATCGCGATAAAAAAAATCTGCATCACAGTTGATTAAACATATCTACGAAAAATTTAGTGTCGCGCGCACGGATAATCGCGATGACTAATAAGGCCAATCTATCTGCACTATTGTTCTCAACAGCGGTATTTTATACCGCGGGACAACAAAGAAGGTCGTTTCACAGCTTCCGATCGTTTCCCATTCGCTTCCACGCATCCGCCCGCACACCCGCACGCGAAGCGTGGAAAGTAGAAATGTATCGCGCGCAAAGCCCCGAAGATTAAACGAATCCGCTGGAATTTGGTTTTCGTATTTTCTCTTTTGTGTTAGCTGATTGCGACCACACCGTTACTTTTGTTTGTATGTACATGGATATATTGTCCAATGGCTATTAATACGCAGCACTGTAGACAAGCTTATTTCGCATTATTCACGTTTCTTTTTTTTAATGTGAGTTTAGAATGTTTTACGTGAAATGATCCTTATGTATTTTTCTACTAAGTATGATGAAACTTCTTCGCGTATCTCTCTCCTCTCGAACTAAAAACGAGAGTTCTCAATGTTTTCTGCAGAAACTTTGTTTTGCTGTGACATTTTTTGTCGGAACACTTTATAAGAAATATCGTACAAGATATTTCGTATAAAGCGCTGATATCTTTAGCTTTCGTAGCTAGACGGATCTAGAAAATTGCCGTAAGTGAAGTTTCGTTGAGTAAATTATATATTTGCATGATTAATACGCACGAATAGAAATTTATACAAATATCATTCTTAATTTAAACAAATTTTGTCTATATTATTGCACCCGATGATTTTCACGCGCTGATGAAAGAACTATCAGTTTTCTTTGTGGCTACTGTGTAAATTACTTATAAGAAGATTATTTGGCACACTATATATGTATATTTATATAAATTTATAAAATGTGTCTTTCTTCTTTAACCATAAACTATTCGCCGTCAAACTCGCGTCCGCCAAACTTCCGGAGAGTTTCCTCTTAAGTGTAAGTAGCGCGCACTTAAATATTTAGCATAGTTTCGTCTTTATTTCAAACGTCGGGTTTTTCGTCATGTTGACACTTCCTGCGTCGCTTCTTCCTGTTGTTACAATCCAAGCCTCTTGCGTGAACGGCAGGTCGATAATAGGGAAACTTATCGAGGCCGGTAACGCGCGCTATGGCCTTTCAATCAAAACTTTCAATGACTTGGTTATCGATGAGTCTCATATATAGCCTCGAACACGCATCTATATGCGCCGGTTATCTAATGTATTGCCGACATGAATCGCCTTATACTCTATTATCCTTATACATGGGACGCGGACCATTGTCTTTGACACGAGAAAATTGTGTTTCTACTTTCATTTCACTTCCTGTCTAAAATACGATTTAAAAATTATTGTATTGTTACTCTTAGATATTTAACTTTTAACTTAACATTTTTGTCTTTTGACTTGTCATTAAATAATAATTTAGAAAGATACGATAAAATATTTATATTTTAAATTTATATTTTTTATATACAAGTAATATTTCATCTTTTCTATTTTATTTTGTTTTATAGTATAATCCTGACATTGTTACATATCTTAATTCGAACCATGTGATATTAGAATTTGAAAGTAATTTTCCTCAAAATAGCAACGTAAATCTCGCAAATGATCCGCGAATCTCGCAAATGATGTTCATGATTGCGCTTGTTATCTCCTTTCCGAATTCTCGAATTCTAGATCACCATGTAACCGCAAATCGCTCAAAATTCAGTGAAACGCGACGACGCGAACGGTACTGAAAACCGCTAATGCGTACCGTGAAATGGAAAAGCCGATGAGAGCGAAACGAACCACCCCATCATGGTGGAGAAACCGGGCGGCTCCTCTCTCTCTCTCTCTCTCTCTCGTCTATCATCGCTACTAAATAATTTCCGCCATGATTGGAAATTTTTTCGCCCGCTTACCCCGCAAAATGGTTCCCGCTCTTAAGGCATTATTATCGAGGTTCGCTTCTCCAATAGTGCGCGCTAACGACCCGTCGAGCACAATGCCCTTACATTCCCATTGTCTTACGAATAGCCCGCCACGTTGTCCCGATCGATTTTTGACATTTTTACGCTCCCCTTTTACCCTTCTCTTGCGTCATCCTCCCATTCATTTCCCTCAACCCTCGGTCGCAAGTTATTTCCTCTCTCGATACTTTTGATAAAAGAAGTTGTCCGAGCGTCGCGACGCCTGTCACTTTACCAGCCATGTCGCGCGCTCGTAACAGCAACATTTTAACGATGACTTTATTACAACTGGCAACCGGCACAGTTTACGGATGCCGGCCAAAAGAGGACACGCGAGAGTAGTCCCGTCGCGACAAATTGGATCCGCTTTTCCACCACTTTGATTTCTGGTCTCCCGTCACTACTCTCCACCTATAAAATCCAGCCTGAAATTTAGCTTTTCCCGTGAGACTGATTTCGTTCGAACCTGGTATATGTTCGAACCTGTATATATTTTAACTTTTCTGTTCTGTGTCTATCTAAACAAAATACGAATTCATATAACATCTAAAATTAACTTTTCTAGAAAAATAAAAACATTGTGTTTCGTTATCAGTGATAAGCATAAATTTTTTAATTTTAATATTGCTCGAAATATTTCATTGTTTCCTACTCTGTTTACGATTAAATGTTCCTTCTTTAAGAAGTAAAAAGGAACATTTTATCGTAAACGGAGTAGAAAACAATGAAATATTTCGAGCAATATTAAATTAAAAAATGTATGCTTATAACTAATAACGATAGCACAATGTTTTTACTTTCAATCAATTCTTTAAATTCATTTCTTAATTAATATGCAAATCTTGATTATTGTGGCACGGTTTAAACCAGTGGTTGAGAGAGAGTATCAAATAATCCTCCCGAGCTGTTAATGGCTGGCTGAGAAGACACGATATATAAAATTAGCTTCCATTTAGCTAGCTTCTCCAGGACGGAGAAGCTAGCTAAATGGAAGGTTCCTTGCCCGCGGCGCAAGGAAACCTCGCAGATGTATCTTACCTCGGGCAAAAACGATAATCGTCTACGAGTTTTTATTATTCTCTCGTTGCAGAACACTTTGCATTTAATTCCGACGTACACATTTAACTGAGTAAATGCGCGCGAAGAGTCATCGCTGATTACTCGGTTATTTTTAACTCTAATTTAATCAAGACTGGAACCTTTCCTTCTCCGCGCGCGCTTTCCTCTCCATCGCAGACATTGTTCCCGCGAGTGAGCTTAGGACGAAATTTTCCCCACGGCATCGCGACGCTTTATTAATTTCCCGGACGGCGCCGTCGACGTCTCCGCCGCCCCTTCCACTGTCTCGCTCGCGTCTCGTCTACCTCATGAAACCTTCCATTTTACCACCTTCACCTCTCTACGAAATACAATGTCTTACGTGATATTTGCGGGCAAGGTCGCGGAGTAATTTCTGAGAAAGTGAAAAGCACTTTCGATAGGCAGATGAAAGAAATCGATAATAAATATGTCGAATAATTATGACTTTGCTGCTCCGCGACGATTTAAAATGTTTCACGATACGAATGTTTTATAAGATTTGAAAAATACACAGATTTTGGCGCAATATTATACATACGATATTATTGATATTTTTATATTATACGGAGATAATTTGAACTCCATTCTATCAGAACCTCGCTTATGAAAATGGCGCTGCGAGGCTCTGCAAGCTTGCGTTTATATTCTCAGGAATCCACGGTACGTATATCACGTAAAATCTACTAGAGTTGATTGCAATCGTGTCTGCATGTATGTATTTAATGTAAAAATAACAGTAGGTAGTTATTATTGCGTAATTGCTACAGGACAAATACGTTATTTTCAATCCATTCCTTGCTTAAGGAGTAAACATAAAATTTTGGCACGCTTGCACTTTTTATATTTGAATCTTATCGCATATGTTACACGTTTGTCAAAGATTATAATTATTTCAAGAGTACTGGAGGCAGAAGACTTTTCAGATATTAAATAGAAGAATGTTACGGAGACATAGCTTCGACAATCATTTCAATTTTCTTTTCTTTTCAATTTTATAAATGTTACAGTCTTTCCTGCAACTTTTTTTCTGTCTAATATTTTCAAGATTTATGAATCGCTTTTCGTAAAGTATTTCATACAATCACTCGATATGAAAAATAGCTATCACTACACTGAGAAAAAAGTTGTTGACTTGGCTAAATATTTTCAACTGATTATTATCTTTTTAATTGAAATATTTATGTATTTAAATTAAATACGACATATTAAATCTAATATGACGTAATTTGACTCAAATATTTAAACATTTTAATTAAAAAAATAATTAGTTGAAAATATTTAGTCAAGTTAACAACATTTTTTCTCAGTGTATCACTCGAATCGCGCTAATGTAGCTGGCGCTGTTGTTTTAGACACTCTGGAGGAGTGGAAGCTTGTGTTCTTCGGCACGGACACGTCAGTGGAAGTGGACGACCAGCTGGACAAGGACAAGCCGCTGCCGCCAGTGGTCCACGAGGAAGTGAACAACGCGCCTTCGGATCTCGGGCACAACGCCGTGGATACCGAGGGCGATCCGTGGACGGGTAGCCGGCAGATGGACCGGGTCTCACACCCGGAGGTGCAGAGGCCTACGACGGAGAACCAGACGAGTGGCTGTGCCGCCTTCGAAGCCGGAGGCAGCGGGTGCCTAGGTGGGTGCCTCATACTACTCCTTCTAGCCTATCTGACCGGCGTGCCCGGCTGGCGGGAGTTGATCACCAGCTGGCCTGCCTCGACGAACAGTCGGAGCGAGTTGGGCACGGAGGCGAATCGGCCGCTGATCGCGGCAGCGAGCGTCGTCCCGATGACGACGGCGACGTCGTGGGCCGGCGACGCGACGACGCGACGCGCTATCCCGACGGCGATACATCGCGCGTCGGATGCGCGCAGGTGTACATGATGACAGCGGATCGCGTTTGGTCCCGCGACGGCTTGCGGCCCGATCCTGTGACTCCGGGTCACCGGGATTGCCGCGCGCGGGACGGCCGCGCGGATTTCGACGACGTGTGCCTGACGCGCTCTTGTGATCCGTGAAATTTTAATATACTTGTGATGGAGAGAGGTGTCGCGCGTAGAAATCGGAAGGGGGAAGGGAAAGAAGGGGAGGACTCCGTGGCCTCCTTTCCCGGTGCTAATTGTCTCGAGAAGAGATCCAAAGGACTGTCCAATGCTGAATTATCGTCTGTCCTTCTCTTCTTGGAAGAGAAACGAATGATGTGTGTTCGATGATGAACACATCGAGTCTGAGAACTTCGTGGCTCGGTTAGAGCGTTCCTCGTGATCAGGGAAATGCGATTTTCTCGCTAACACGCGCCGTTAGGGTTGGCTTTGGCCTAATTTGTTTGTGTCGTGCAAGGAAGCGAGTCCTCTCGTAATCGCCACGAAACGTCCGCGGACGCTTGCGCCATGACAACACTCTATTCGTGAGGGGTGGCTTCGACTGATCGAAGTTCGCGTTGCGACGAGGATGGGACGGAAACTAGATGTTTACGAGGCAGGAAATGCACGGTTCTGTTACCGATTGCACGATGAATCGGATGAACTCTCGATTTCTCATTAAAAGCGCTTGTTTTTTAAGGAATTCGACATAGAGCCCATATTTGGGCCATTGAAAGGATTATGTTTCTTCCTTTTTTCTTTTCCGATTTTTTCATGTTTAAAAAAAATATAAGTTTTGTTCGACAAGAAACTTTAACGGAACTATGTATTGGACAGCAGAAGTTGCGGAAAGTTTCATATAAATTGTTGACATAAAATATCGAGGTAAATTCAACATTGCAAATTTCTCGATAGACATGAGAAAATGTGATTTTTTTGCACGACCCATTAGCGTCGTTTCTTATACGTTATCTTCCGCCGCGAGTTTTTCCCTAAATAAGTAGTGCAAAGTGAACTTTTCTGGTAATGAAAAAAGTAAAATAAAAAATAAATTTATCATAATCCACAACTAATAAATAAAAAATAAATAATATTTAAGATTTAATATTGTAATATCGGAAATCGAGAGTTTGTCACTTTTCCAAATATTTCCGTCTCTATAAAATTGCCGCAGTCACAGCCGTGTAATTCTATGGACGTGCTTGTAAATATATGCAAAGCGTATTTATTATACCTCGCAAAGTTACGTACGATCTTAGGAGTTTCAAGAGTAATGGCACTGCGATCCCGTGGCATCCTCTTCCGCCACGTTGAACGAAGCAGAAATGGGTAAACAACCAATGTTCTGATAAATGTATTCTGGAATTCTGCTTGACTTTTACACGAAAGCAGTCGCAAGGCCGTCATAATGAATCTTAAATTCATATTCGCGATTTTTAACTGACGCCGTATTTAACGTTAGCAAAGACGGGTAATTGAGTTTATGTTCTGTTTAATTAATACAAAGAAACACTGAGTTGTATCCTTTCAGTTTTACGATGATTCATGTGCCATGCAACTGCATCAATTGCAAATCAATTAAATTTTTTTCCAGAAATCAAATCAATCTTCTTTCGAGCTTTTTTTTTAATTCAAATTGAAGAATCGAAGAAAGATTTCAGCAATCGATTGTAACGCAATCTACCTTGTGCTCGATTCTGCTCAGCGTTTCAGTCGAGGCCGGCCATACGTGACAGCGTCCTATATTCACATGTGTAATTTTCCACGTGAACTTTTTGTACGAGACAAAAAAAATAATAACAGGAAGCCAACTGCCATTAACGAGACCCGACCGGTCTCGTGCCCTGTCTCTCCTGGAAAAATTGCCTCGCGTAACTTATAGTACATCCGATGGAGCTGCAGTTAACTTCAGCCAACGTCGTCGATTTTGATCGACGGATTTTGGCTCCGACGTGTTCCAGGGGGGAAGGAAGGGAACAGTTTTCTCTCGCCTTCTTTTTCTTCTTCCCCTTTGCCCTATCTCTGTCTCTCTTTCTCTTCTTCTTCCCCCCTTTTTTCTGTCTCTCTCTTTCTCTCTTTTGCTCGCTCAAATGCATGAAAACACACGATCTTTCTCTTCCTCTCTATCTCTTTTTCTCTATTTCTTTATCTTCTCGTCTATCGGTCAACACCCCTTTTGTTTTCCAACATCCTTAACATTCTCCTGTCTGCCAGCTTTCCCTTACGTTCCGTTTCTGAACCTTTCTCCACGCTTCATAAGCACTCTGCGTCCCTCCAAGGAGATAGGATATTCGGTGAGCTATCAGCACTGCCGAACTAGGGGAGCTATAGGGAGGTTCTCCGGCTGCCTATGTAAACAGTTGGGGATGGGGTACACGAAGCTGCGTGTGGATTTTGGATGCACATTAAACCTCGGGCTTTATTAAGATCAACGACAATGACCGTGTGCTTAGTAATTTACTTTAGCGAGTAATACTATTTCTTCTTGTTAACAAGGTAATGCGTACGTTGGATATATATTATTTAACTTAATTGCAAATACGTAGCTTCTATTATTTTTAATATAAAATGTGTTACAAACGTACGAAATTTCGTGAAAATATTTCCATATAGTGATCAATGAAGGAGGCTATTCTAATTACCGTATTTAAAGATATGTTATAAATATACAAACATATGCATGTAATATACAAAAATTTAGTGTAATTTTTAACATTTTGTTAAAAGAGAAAGAATCATTGTGCCACGAGTATCGTTCGTACGTTCATAATTCACACTCGGCCTCGAAAGTACAGTATATCAAATTTTCGACACGAAACTTGCTCAAAACGTTGTTAACTATGATAATTAAAAACTGCGCGGTCCGCAAGTGTTTGTAAGTTAATAAATGCCCGTAACGCTTAGCCAATTCGATGGCGATAAGAACCGTCGCGCCGTTGAATGACTCGATATTTTCTGAACAATTTTTAGATACCACCGTTTTGCTTGGAATATCGATGAAAAAAAAAAAACCGGCGGATGCTATTCTATTGCGAGCTTAGAGGTGATCGCGCGTGCTTGGTAAAAATTTCAATTGCGGGGATAAGCAGTAAACTCGACGAGAAAGCCGAGAGCTTCGCGGCGAGTTGACGGGGCGATTTTTCTTTATCGGGGAACGATCGTCAACGAGTTATCGAGTCGGAAGTTTTCACCATCGAGAATTCCGCCGCTGCGAAAATTCGTTTCTAGGATTTACGATTTATATCAACGCGGCGAATCCAATCATGTTCCGTCGAAAGTTGTAGGCCACAAATCAGAAGTTAACTGTGCACGACAAGCCAGAAATCGAATTACAATCGATATATTGTTACTTCGGCTCGAATAATACATGCCGATTATAAATAAAGCGCGAACAGTTTTGAAAGTTCGTATGTTATCCGATATGCTCCACGGATTTCGTCATATTGTTGGTCAAAGATCATACAAAGGTACATATTGCAGCGCAGTCAAATTATTCAATAAATTGTCATTATCAGTTTTTATCTATAAGATTTTTAAGATACGAATTCGATGAATTTAATTAACACTTGACAAAAATCGTAAATAACTACTTGATCGACGTCGCTCCGTACTTTTATCGCGCATCGATACCCTAGAAACTAATACGTCGAACGGCTGAACAGTCGTACGAAAAAAGGAATATTGAATGGCTGCGAAATTAAATTGACGTTACAGTTGCGATACTAAATGTCTCTTTCCAAGCGGCGTTCTGCGAATGAAACGTTTGTGATTTTTCGAGACTGATGCTCTAATGGATGGCTATCAAATGCAATCGCGAGGAAAAAAATATATATGTACTCAAATGTATTAATCCCTGGATCTGACGATACTATCTCGGTCAAGAGATGCAAAAATTGGTCAAGTGCTTCTACGTCGAATACACTCAACTCCAAAGTTAGTGCTTGTCATACAAATAAGGTACTAATATACTAAATAAAAAAAGATAAAATAATATATAGATATATATAGGTATATATATATATATATGTGTGTGTATATATATATATATATATATATATATATTATTTTACTTATATACAATCAAGTTGTATAGTAAAATTTTTAGAATATTATATTATAATTTGAATGACAGCATAACTATGGTAACAAAAGTACTTATTATGCTCGGGACTCTAACATATAAATATTTTTTATTTTTTATTGAATAAGTGAAAATAGTGTTCTCAATCATAAAAAAATTAATGTCACTTTATTCTATTTTATACTATTAGCGATTCAAAATTAATTTGCGAATTTTCATATTTTCTGCAGTTTTTAAATGCGCTATCGTGCATCTCACATATTAAAATATTTGATCTACTTTTGTTGTTCAATTTCAATATTTAAAAATTTTCTTATCAAATATCATTTTTTATGACGTAAAAATAAAGCGAAATCCTCACATTATGAAGAGGAAAGCCGATTGCAAAGCTGCGGATAAGATCAGAAAGAATATCGGACTGAGTACTTCGAAATCAGGTTACATTAGCAACTAAATTCTCATTCCTTACGGAAAATGGAACATGCACCAAGCGCGAGTTCCGGTACCGTATTTCTCGATGGATGGATAGAAAAGATATTTAATATTCCAATTCCGTCGATATTGAGAAAGAGAGACGCGCGAGTAGAATCAATTTTTTCTTTATCTTCTTTGACAGCCGTTATACGGCTCCTTTATACGACGTGTCCTTTTTTATATACGGGGATGAATAAGATTTTTATCAGCAATCTACCTAAGGAAAGAAATCCAAATATTATAGTGGAAAAACGAAAAATCCTGTTTACTGTCAATGCAATTTCTAGGAATTTTTTCCTTATATCTTATGCAATTTTTTCGATACCTTGCGTCGCGCGGGTGTAAGAAAAATCCAAAATTGGCATAGAACCGAAAATATACATATTTTATTTCTCCGTTATTGTTTTCTATTGTGACTGTTTTATGTATACAACATTCGAACTTTCATAGCGTCGCATAAAACTAAAATTTAGTTGTATATGTATAACAGATCAATGTTTTCAGTACGGTTCTTTTCATCTCCAAAAAATATTGGTTTGTGTTTCTTTTTTAAAGCGATCGATTACACGACAGAGATTAATTTTAGCAGGTCTTCAGCATTCGCGAAGGTTCTCTTTAATCAAAAATTCGTTTCTCGCGATGTGAAACGAAAAAAAAGACCGTCATATCGTGAGGGTGAGGCACATGAGAGGAAGGAGCAGTTCTGATATAAAGCAGCGAAGGGCGGGCTGAAGCGGGATGGAAATTCAAAGGCGAGTTGATTTACAGACAAAGATTCCCTGAATTTCATCTCTGATCAAAAGCGTATAGCTCGGTCGGCATTTTGCGAAATGCTCCGCTCACAAGGGAATAATTTTAATGACCCGCGTATGTGCAAAATATGATGAAAGAAATACCCGCGCAGTAATCCGTATCGTATTTCGCAGATGAATTGCGAAATATAGTCGGACAGAATCGTAAGATTAGTTGACTTTACCTTTGAAAATGTGCTCATAATCGTCAAATATTAATTTTCCTCTCGCAGCCTTGAGCGACAAATAAGAATTCTTTTAATCCTACGTCAAATTATATTTTCCCATTAAATTTAAAATTGAATTTTTACACGAACGTTGAATTATATATATATATTTTTTTTTAATATATAATGACACATACGCATATAAAACACGTGATTTGAGTTAAATTTTACGTAGTAGACGAAGAAGTAGAGTTTTTCTCATTATTTACTTCGAGAGATACGGTACGTATCTTTTGTCCAGGTAATCTTTTGAGAATTATTTATTCGTATCTGTAATATAAAAATCGATAATGAAGTAAATTTCTCGATCGAGGATCTTCGACTTTTATAAATTGTTCGTATACATATACACATGCATGAGATTGTAATTCGATTTTTAAATATCTTGTAAGTCAATGTACACCACCCTATATGTTCATTCATCACCTCAGTTTGTTCTTCCCTAAACTATCTTTTATTTTAAACTTCTTTCTCAAACGCTACAACTTCTACGCTAATATCTGCTTCTATTTTTCTTTCTTTATATTGTTTCCGTTCCTATTTTCCATTTGTAATTAATATTGTAAATATATAGATCGATATGTGATAAACTATGAATTTTCCCTATTCTATTCCCTATTCTCTTGCATTATGTATTTTCTTCAATTTTCATCGTTTCCCATCTGAATATCTTTTGATTTCGGAAAAAGCAACGTCGAGAATTTGTAGAAATATTTTCTCTTACTTTGTTTATACACGTGCTAATATGGAAGAAAGGCAATTCTTTCAAATTTTTATTTATTTAATGTATAATATTTATAGAATTCTTTTACAAGAATTATGATAATTCTATTAATTTTACTATAAAATGTAAAAAAAAAAAAAAGCAGCAGATTTAATATTTTCCCGTGTGATATCTCTTGCTGTTTTATTTTAATATTTGAAGAATGGTTCCTCCACATAAGCATAAGACTTCTTTATCCCTTCGTTGGCCATGATATATTATATATTTTTAGAGAATAGGCAGTCAAAAGAGTACGAATGCATATTGAATAACAAAATAATTTTTATTGCTATCGTTCGTATCGATAACATGTACAGCAGTTATATTAGTTTATTACTCATTGTGATTATATTATTACATTTCATATCAATGTAAATGGATGGTGCGTATTAGTCGCTGGTGCCGTAATTATTATCGTCCTCGAAATATCGGACTTGTTCATGCACATATCATTTCAATCAAATCGCAATGGGTGCTGTTCTCTGAAGTCAGTGTACGCTTATATATTTTGTTTCTCTTGATTATCATATATCTCGAGATTTAATAATTTATAAAACGTCGTACAGGATGGTCTAGGAGAAAATTATTTTTTATTTTTAGATGATGTAAAAACAAGAACTCTTCTCAGATTTTCTATGAATTATAACTCTATTGAAACTGACTACTCAGTCTGTAAGAGAAGCACTATTATATCATTGGGGTACCTTACAGTTAACAAACTTTTAATTAGCAATTTTAAGGTGCAAATTAATTAGACAATATTTATACTTATAAACGTACTTAGGTGAATAATCTTCGTTTCCCGAGTGAGAGAATAAGCAAACATTTTTCAGGCTAATTAGCTTTTGAGATGATATTATAGCGTAAATTGATTCGTTCAAATTATTTATGCTTTTCAAAGTATAGTGTTATAATTAGTTCTCTTTACACGGCGACGCAAGATTCACGCAGCATTCATCGATATTTGTGAGGAAGTCTTCAATAGTCTTCTCCACGTGTATCTTCAGTTAAATTGTACTTATACGTCCCGATAGGTCAAATAAAACTGTATATAAATCAAGAAAGAATACGCTTCTACGTCTCATATGATACATTCTCTGCGCTGTGCGTCTAGTTGGTATCATTTATCTAATTATATTTGAACCAAATTGAGTTTGTATAGTCCGCTTATTTTGCCCGATTCATCCAGATTGATCATTGACTCACGACATTTACCACCGTTTTCTTTCGTTCTTTATTTCACTCGTCAAGTTCTATAAGTGGAGACGCTCGTAATACTGGCTATATCGGAAAACGAGAGCTTGAAGCTGTAGATAAGTGTTCATAAATAAAAATTTAACAGCAATACAAATAAAATGAAAGAAAATATGGCGGTATTACAGGTCAAAATTGCGATTAAGCATTAAAAAGTGGACATTGTAAATGCCTGTTGATGCAAATAATTGTCTAACAAGAAAAATCCAACATAAGCCGAAATGTCGCGATGGCTTAAATCTGTCAGTTAGCCTTGTGCAATTTAATTTTTAGTGACTAATCTGAAAAAGATTATAAAACAATGGAAATGAAAATAGAACGTAAACAAGATATACATATATAAAATTTTGCGGTAACTGTCCTGTCATTTTAGAAAAAAGTTAAGCTAATTTTTATTTTAAAAAATTGACTTTTTGCGCTTTTATAAAATAAAACAAATGTTCGATAAGCGACGATTAATTTCCAATGAAGAAAACTCCGCAAAATTTAATTTCAAAGCACTAATTGTGTAATATATTAAAATTATTCTTTTTAAATTCACATTCTCTCTTATGACATGTTTAACGCCAAATTTGAATTTTATTTTATGTTAAGATCGAAAATGATATCTTTGTATTAAGAAAATAAAATCGCTATCGGACGATTGGATTTGGCTTTACATGCAGCGGTAAAAAAGGATGAGATTACGGGTTCAATGTATCTTCGAGGATCTCGTTGACCTTCGCGTTTCTTCGCGAGCGAGAGGGATTGTGGATCGTTGCGTGATTTTTCCCACGAAAGTTATTCTACTCGAGGAAAGATGTATTAACCGCGATTTCTTCAATTAATCCCTGATTTCGAGAAATGACATCCGTCAGGGAAACTATACGGCATAAAACGAAGTTATCCGTATAGCAGAGAGTTAGAAAGATCAAAATGGAAACTTTTCGAGCGAATCGATTGAAGGGACCGGCGACTTTTCACGAGTTTCATGACGAACCTTCATCGCCCCGCGGAATCTCGTTTCGCTATCATTCAAAGAATAAAAGTTGTACCAAGAGTCGGCGAGTTCGTTCTAGAACACGGGAGAAAAATACAAAGAAAGAAAGAGAGAGAGAGATAATTTTATTACATACTCTAGAATGAGATCCCCTAAGAGAACAAAAAAGAAATGCAAATATCGAGAAGGTGCAAAAAGAAGAATAAGAATGTATGTGTGTGTACGTATGTATGTATGCGTGTATGTATGAAAGAGAAAAAAATGAGAGACGCAACAAATGAGAATGCGGGAGAAAAGATGAAGTTACGAAAAAAACGAAAGTACAGACCGATTATCTATATGTATAGCGAATTTCAGTTCTAAGAATAAGAGTCAATTATATTAATCAGTGTGGAGGGGTGTTGGTTTCCGACGAAAACAAAAAGGAAACTGAT